GGCCTTGGATTCAAGTGCTGCATTCATGATACCAGCTTGTTCACCAGACACTGCTCTCGTGGGACTATTGTTGTCCTTGTCTATGTTGATGATATTGTTCTCACTGGCAGCTCTTCTACTCTCATCTCAGAAGTTACTCAGGCCATGCACCGTGACTTCAAGCTCAAAGAACTTGGACCTCTTCATTACTTCCTTGGCATTGAGGTTCAGCGCACGCAAGATTCTATACTTCTCCATCAATCCAAATATGCCCGTGATCTTCTACGCCGAGCTGGGATGTCCGACTGTCATCCGGCTATTACTCATATGACTACGAGACCTATCACTAAGCCTTCGTTGCCTTTCAAGGATATTTCTCATTTTCGGAGCATTGTTGGCGGTTTACATTACTTGGCTGTCACTCGTCCAGACATTCAGTATGCTGTTAATCGAGTGTCTCAGACTATGCACAACCCCACTGAGTAGGACTATCATGCCTTGCAACGCGTTCTGCACTATCTCAAAGGCACTTTGAATCATGGTTCTTTTTCGCAAGGGGGGATTCGACCTATCTGTCTACTCTGACTCTGACTGGGCCAATGATAAAGATGATCGCAAGTCTACCACGGGCTACATACTCTTACTCGGTCCTAATATCATCTCTTGGTGCACGAAAAAGCAGACTCGTGTTTCTAGATCATCCACTGAAGCTGAATATCGAGCTATGGCTGAAGGGGTTGCAGAAGCTATGTGGCTTCGATATATCACTGATGCGCTGGGTATTCCTCCGTCCAAACCGAAGTTATACTGTGACACTGAGTCGACTATCTGTGTCACCAAAAATCCGGTTCTTCATGATCGCATGAAGCATGTGGGCACAGACTGTCACTTTGTACGAGATGAGGTTATGGCAGGCACTATGACTCCACATCATGTTTCCTCCTCAGAGCAGCTAGCAGACATTCTTACCAAACCGCTTCCGCCAGTTCCTTTTGAATAGTTATGTTCCAAGCTGCCCCTCGTCTCCGTTGATCAGCTTGCGGAGGGATATTAGGAAGTATAATTAAATTAGGATACTTCTTTCCTTTCCTACTAGTATTATTCTTTCCTTTCCTACTTGTACTTTGATTACTCTTGTATTCCCTATATATAGGGTCATATCTCTCAATATTCAATAAGACAAGTTATTATCAAATTGTATCAAATTGATTTGAGTATAAATTTTTACCAAACATCATAAATCGAAGCAGGCAATATAAATTAAAATGAAAGGAGTACAATATTTAGTTAGGGGTAGGCAAAAAAACCGAACTAGCATGGTACTATACCGGACCGTAATGGTACCGAACCGTTTATAGTGTTTTCAAACGGGATTGATTTTTTTCATCACGAACTGAAACTGAACCGATATCAAATGGGACGGGACCGTGATAGAAATATTTAAAACCGATTATCATGGACCGAACCGTCCAATACCATATACAGAGTACATATCTCAAATAATTATGGAGTATTTGTCTACTTCATCTTACCGTGTATAGAGTACTTCGTATTTTATTATTCATTTTTAAACTCTCTCATTATTATTGTTGTTATTATATTTATCATTACTATTGGCATTATTTTTTATAGTTATTAATATTCTGATATTACATGAATTGGAAAAAAAAAAATTTAACTTTGGACTCGTTATCTTTTATTCTTTATGTTTATGATCCGTTTAAATTTGAAGTCAATACTTTTATTCAACATTCTTGTGCTTTTTTATACAAAATTATACATTAAGTTTAATATTTTTTAAGTAATGTACGTTCATTTTTTTTTGGCACGGTTTGAGCATGACTATGGTATTGTACCATTCCGTTTTAAAACGGAATGGTACCGAATAATGGTTTTGGAGTTCATCACGTACCGATACCGAACCGTTTAAATAATAGCGGAGGTTCCGGTAGTATCACGGACCATCACGGACCACGCCCACTCCTATATTTAGTATTTATAAAAAGGAAATAACTAAATCTGAATTGACAAAGATAAATAAATGTCACTATAACTATTCCAACATCTCAATAATTTTTATTCCTTTGAATATTTCATTGATCATTTAAAAAGTAAATTATGCTTGCCACTTTTTATTTCGTGAAAATGTTGATACTTTTTTTGTATGATGTAATCTACACTTGTTATTTCGATACATATATTAAAATAATTATAAACGTGATAAAATATTGTACAGTACATTATTCGAAAAATGACATCCAATACTCGTACTTGGTACTTTGGCAAGTTGATGAACAATAAACCAAATGCACCCAATACATCTTAAAAGTAGGACCGAAAGAGGGAAAAATCTTGCACACGTTTTTATGACTATAGGTATATAATGCAAAAAAATATATATTATGGAATACAACAATATTTCATCAAATAATGAAGTTGAGTAAATACACTATATACATACACCTCTATTTTACAACAAATAATATCACCATTTTCCTAGGGGGTATATAAAAACTGGTGAAGTAAAAAGCTCAACCCCTAATTCCTATAGATTTCATGCATTCTTAGATTTCTTGTATCCATTCCAAATGTAATAGTGAGGCATAGGAACCTCAAATCTTACATCAATTTTTTCTTACACCTATTTTTACACCGGTCGTATCTTCCGCTCGGATTGTTTTCACCGGTCGTGTTATTGAGAGTCAGTGCAACATAGACTACCCTCGTAAAATTCTAGAACAATCCAATGGTCGGTTCGTCGCGAAAAATCCCACAACTTAAATTTTTCCACATTTTATAATGCAGATTTCAAGTTGTATGACCCAACGAATCAACCGCTAGGTTCTTCCGAAATTTTACTAGGGTAATTCATGAGGCGCTAAGTTTCAATCCTACAGTCAGTTTTGAGTGAAAACAATCTGGGCAAAAATTATGACCGATGTAAGAATTAGTATACGGAAGAATTGGTGTGTAATATTAGAATTTCTCTCTATAGGTCAAAAAACAGCAAGAGAGACAAAGGCAGTAGCACAAGTGTGGCAAAGAAACAACTCAAGAGTGATGCATTGTTTGGGGTAGGTGGAGGTACCAGAGCTGATGGAAACGAGAGTGGCGGGGCAGGCGGTGGGGTATTTCCGCCGCCGGAAGTGGCCTCTGGTTTCATAGCGGCAGGCGGGGGTGCTTCAGCTGCTGGCCTTTTTGGTTTCTTTATTGGAAGGGTAGTGGTGTTGGATTGTTTACTACGGTCGTAACCTGATCCAAGTTCCAAAGAAGAAGAAGAAGAAGAAGAAGAAGAAGAAGAAAGCTTGTCATTTATCATTAAAACTATGACCTCTAGCCGGAGGCAGAGTGAAGAGAACTTACAATCTGATGGTTCCCAGCCCAAAACTTGTTTCTCGCTGTCAAAAACCACCCGGTAACCGGTCATGAAATTTTCTGGAAAAATAAAATAAAATATGAAAAAGATTTAATAAGAAAAGATCAATAAAAATTGAAGCGCCGTAAATGACATGGTAGAAGTTTAGATGCAATTCAATCATGAAACAAGAGAGAAAATCTTAAAAGGAATTGAGATTATATTGCGCTTTGTTATTACGGAGTATGATATTGTTTCAAACTTCCAAATGTCTATTTTGAATATATGATTTATTACGAATATATTAAGCATGAGATTTTTAGAGCAAGTCCATATGAATTTTTCCTGCCTACAAAATGTCATGCATGTTTTACTGTTTTTAAAAGTGAAAAAAAACAAGAAAGTAAAAACCACCTAGTTTGTTTGAATCAATTCCAGAAATACTTACGTCCAATAATGTTGATATCTCCACTTTTGACAACTGCCAAACAATAAATATACTGACCACTCTGCTGATAGAGAAAACGTTAAGTACAACATAATAGAAATTAGAAAAAAGGATTGACTAAAAAACACAAAGTTACAATATATTACCTTGGGGGAAAATATTACTATCGGATCAAAAACATAAAACTGGTCACCACCTTTCATTGTTAGGTTCACATCAGGAACATCAAGAGATGTTTGTTTTGGACTAGCAAAAACAAAAAGGGCGATTAATTAAACAATAAAATTAAATAAGGTCATCAACATATAAGAGCTCGAGTACGAATCTCAACGTTATATGTTGAGACTCGTAGTCCAACTCTAACTCTTATGTGTCTGGTTCAACACCTTCAAAAGGAGAGATTTTAAGGCCGGTTTGGTTAGCGCATGAGACAAAACAACAACAACAACATAGTAGAATCCCACAAAAGTAGGGTCTAAGGAGATGTGTGCACACAAACCTTATCCCTACTTGAAAGTAGAGAGTCGGTTTCCAAGAGTGAGCGCATGAGATATGGATTCTTTTGTGGGCATTTGGTGAAGCTTAAGAATAGTTAGGATATAATATCTCCCGATATCACTACTCTTTCAAATGAAAGTGTTTTGATATCTCCTGATTTTGGGAGATATCTCCCACAAACGCCACCCACTGTCGTCGGGCCACCCGTCATCACTGGCCACCTCCACCATCACTAACAACCATCATTTCAAATCTTTTTAAACACTTTCATTTCAGATTTCAGAACATATATCACATTAATGATGCTTTCTCCCCAAATGAGAGGGAGGGAAGGGAGGGGTTATGCAAAGTATAACTGTGTGTTTTGTTGAATATGATTGTTAAAAAATCACTTCAATGACCAACCTTAATTCATAGCAGTATTCAAAAGGAGTGTCCGAATAAGAAGCAATATTAGAACGTGGTTCCTTCACAAATGAATTGAACTGCAAAGACAATATAGCATGTTTAGCTCAAATGTAAAAATAAAATAAAATAAAATAAATTAATAAATTGTGGATATCAGAAATCATGTACTGAACTTACATTCTCTGTAATGATTGTGTATGCAGGGTCTGTTAAGAGCGTGAAGGAAGTACCAGAATCAAATATGGCTGTAAAATCAACACTTGTGATATTTTTCTCTACAGCTATTTGTGTAAGGCTGATATTATACGTTGCGCTGAGTTGAGAAACAAAAATAATAAGAATAAGTTTAATCATACGAAAGCTACAAAATATGTAATATACCATCACCGAGGTTCTTTTGACACCGAGAGTGAATGCCATATTGGTCTATTTGAGGCCCTGTGGTTCTTCGTTTGATCCCGAAGTAGTTCCCCCCCCCCCAAAACCCCTATGGGGGGCCTAAGGGGTCTCGGATGGGGCAGGGAGTGGTGTTTGGCGGTTTCTGAAGGTTAGCAAGCACTTCGGGGTGTCATATTATAACACCAGCCCTTGATGTCAAAAGAACCGGATTCATATAGCATAGGATGATAGCCTTTAAAAGGGCTTGGTAAAGAAGGTTTTTTTGTTGAAAAATTATTTGATGAGCTTTGAGCTCAAGCTTACATAATAAGCTTCTTGGAGGTAGTTTATCAGATAAAGTTAATCATCTTTTCAATTTTTTCAACCTATACGCATAAGCTAGTTGATTTCATTCAACGTTTGACGAGTATTAGCCGATAATCTAGCTTTCATATACAAAATGGCATAAGAAGATGTATCTAAAAAATGGAAGACATAAAAAAAGCGTATTGAAAAGTTCAAACAAATAAGATAGCTAATGGTGCGCCAAACATAGTTATATATGAGAACAACTAACTTATTAGTTACTCCATATAGGTTATAATTAAAAAGTCACTAGTTAACTTATACGGATTAACTGTATATTCTCTCCGTCTCAAAAAAAATCATTTGAAGACTTGTTTTTTCCCAACTTCTCAAATAAAATTTAGTTAAACTAACAAATTAATTTAAAAATAGTTATAGTTCATGATTTTCCAATAGTTGTGCCATATTAAAATAGGCATAGTGTGTGTATGCGGACTTTACCCAAACTATGTATTCATGGACATGGTACCGATCTGGTTCCAATCCCAAATCTTGGGAGGGCAAAACCTTAACTAGAACAAGGTAGGAGCAATATGGTTCCCATTACCAACCGGTTCTGGTTTTGCCTCTCTTTTTTTTTTTGTAAAAAAAATGTAACACACTTCACTCTATAGAATTTTTTGTGTGTAGATATTGTAAATCATCATTAAACAAATTGAGAAATAATCTTAAAAACAAAACAAAAAAATAATTGGACCTCTAGTATGAAGTAAAAAGACTTTTTTCAAGATACCCCGGTTCATATAAAAAAGTATGAAAAAAAAAGAACGATACATACTGTGATTGTTCAAAATTTAGGGTTGTTTTGCTTTGGTTTGAAGTGCCATTGTCTCCAAATACTATTCTCCCAAGTCCATCTTGCCCAAAACACATAGAAAAAGACTTTGGGGCGATTCCCTTGGCTGCTAAAATACTAGGAACAGAAGTGTCAGCCGTTCCCAGCCCAAACAAGCCATTAGGAGCAGCAGAATCCAGAAAAGCACCAGTTTGAATCATTCCACAGCTGAAAGGAATACGGAAAACATAAATGAGTCAATATGAGTGAGTCTATTTGGTACGAAGGATTGGAGGACATGGGAGGGAGGGTTCTCCTTTCACCTTGTTTGGTTAAAAAACAGGAGAGGAGCTAAATTTTGTTCTTCATCCCCCTCATCTCCCACCTCAAGCTAAACAAGCTTGCAGATATTGGAAGGCACCATTCCAAAAGAATGGCAAGAAAACAGTAGGCAAAAAAATAAGAGCACAAAGGGATGGCAAGAACAAAAATAGTAATTGATGCATACCCAAGCGTAATTGGTGCCTCAATGTTATTTTGTTGAGTATCATCTGTGGCAAGGTGCAAAACATCATCTACCAATATCCCTCTAGACGAGGTATTGCCAGATAAATATGCAACTTCATAGGCACAAGCATTGCGTTCCACCAAGCATCGTCTTCTTTGTTCACACATAGTGCCATTGCAGGGAACTGTCTGGCTTGTTGATGAAGCTTTGGGGCTATAAATATTAAAATCTATTTGCTGGTAAAAAATTGAAACTATATGAGAAATAGCCTAAAATACTAAACTTAGTAAGAAAAACACATACAAAAACAACAAGCCAAGTAAAATCCCATAAAAAGTGTGATTTGGTTAGGTGTGTGTATGTAGACTTTACCCTTACTCAGAAGTAGAGAAGTTTGTTCTAGAAAAAATTTGGCTCAAGGCATATAAACACATACAAAGAAAACACTGCAAACACAATGGCATGAATAAAGTAAGAGCGGAATAAAACATAGCAACTAGCAACAAGACCCAAAGCACATAAAACACACATGCACAAGCTATAGACTAAAGTAAAGAAAACGCCAGAAAAGAACAGCATATTAATGCTCAAAGGTCTACCCAAATGTGTCTCTATCTAAAGCGAGTAAGAAACATAGCTATACTAATACAATGAAACCGAGTTTTTTTTCAAACAGGGGTCATTTTTCTAAAAGATGAAGTAAGCTTGTAGTGAATTACATACTCTTCCTGATCCTAGAAGCAGACCTTTTACACAGCTGCCACTGCAATCACATGGAAGCCAAAACAGATCGCTGCCAGTGTCAAGCGCCACAATAAATGAGAGAGGAGGTGTGCCGACAGTAACATTTGCATAGTGTAAGCTGAAAAGTCGAACGTCGCAATAAGATGAAAGTTCTAGTTTGATTTGATAGAACAACAAACAACTACAACAAACCCCGTAGAATCTCACAAAAAAGTAGGGGGTCGAGTGTGTGCAAACCTTACCCCCACTTGGGAGTAGAGATTATTTGATTTGATAGAATTTATGAAAATTGTTAAAATTTTAAAAGTGGTCGATTAGAATTTGTTTGAATGGAAGAAATATTGTGAGACACATATTTATTTTCTTAAACTAAAATAAGAGGAGCCTGAACTTTAATTTAAAACCATGAGATATTGAAAATGTAAATTTATTCAAGGACAGAGTGACTATGTCATTGGAACTAAATGCCTTTAAGCTAACTCTCTATTAGTGTGATATTGTCCGCTTGAGTCGAGCTCTCGTGTATTTATTTTTGTTCTAAGTTCTTCAACTCCTTCAGTGTGAGAATTGGATTTACTTCCCAAAATAATCTTTTTCTATTGTCAAAATCTCAATTAGACCGGATTTCATTGAAATCTTGGCTCCGAACCTAGTGTGATGGAATGAGTAACTTATAGCAAAGAGCTTATAACTTAAAGTCAAGTTGATAAGTTCGTTTAGAAGTATAAAATGACATGAAAACAATGAAGCTAAAATAATAAACATTGAAAAAAAGTAAGGTAAAATGAAACTACAAACATAAGTTCTATTTCCATATGTTCAAAAGCTACTTCTTGAAACTCATCCAATAAGCCCAAGCTCATCAAAGTAGTTCGCAAGTTGAAACCAAACTAAGCTTATTTGAAAAGCTTCCGTTAAACTTAGTCAACCACAGAGGAGGAGAGAAGGCTTACTATCCCAGAGACGGGAGGCGGGCGGTCTCATTCCCAGCTTCAAAAGTGAGGAGAGAGGAATCCACGGCGGCGCCGGAATCCGCGAGGCGGCGGCGGTGCAAAAGGCGGTGTCTATCACGCGCCACCCAGGAGGAGTAGTACTCGACGCTTCCCTTTTCCGGCAGGCCTCGGAGGTCCAAGACGCGGCTGACCGGATCCGAGTACCGATGGTGGAAATTGAACCCGAATTTCCCGAACGCTTCGCCGCCGTGACACTGTAGCAGTAGAAGAAGAAGCCAAAACCCCGCCGATAAAGAGAAAGCGAGCGAGATATCAGAAGACGCCGCCATGGGCGAGATCACAGAGAGAAATTTGGCCGGCGAAGCAGAAGTTGAAATACAGAGAGGCTTTGCAGGGTGTGTGTGTATATATAATATAGTCCACATTAGATTGATGGCCAAACGCGGCATTATTGGTAGAGTAGAAGAAGAGAATATGAAGCAGGTGATTATCATCTTCTCCACGTTTTGTCAGCTTTGATTAAGAAAATTTGGACCTAAGATTTAGGGGGTGTAGGTTTTTTCTGCAGGAAAAGGTCTGCAGTCTGCGGACCACTACTGTAGACATCTGCAGGAGAAGTGGTGGACCGAAGGTCTGCGGTCTGCAAGAAGAAGACTGTTTGNTGATGGTGGACGGTGGTGGACAGTGGTAGTGGTGGACGGTGGCGGTGGTGGTGGACGACGGTGGCGGTGATGGTGGACGGTGGTGGTGGTGAAGAGAAGTAGAAGAAAAAATGGAGAAGATGTTAGAAGATGTTAGAAGACATAGGTTAATATCTTCTCCAAGAAAATGCCAGGAAGACCTTTTTGAGTGAAATGTCTTCCAAAAAACAAACAATCTGCAGAGCTCAGCATCTGCGCGCGTCTGCGCGGCGCATACAAAAGAGGCCAGAAGCTCTTCTGGCCAAAAAACAAACACCCCCTTAGACATTTTGACACCAGCTCCCATTGACTCATCTACTGTATTCCGTTTACAAAATTGATAATTGTTAGAGTGTTATCTTACTCGCCCAGATTTGAACCCTTTTTGATCTCACAAATTTCATTCTTCAAATTTAGTCTATTTTAGAATCAATGTTTGAACCAAAATCAACTGAATGTGAGTGATGAAATTGAAAAGGTATGGGAATTGAGTATGGGTCAAGCCGGTGGGTTAGTGAGAGGATTTGTCGAGGATTACGACGTAAGAACTATCCATTTTGCGAATGGAACATCGCAGGTATCGCGAAAACCAGGGGCACTAGAGTCTCAATCAGAGTCAGTAGCTTAAAACCTATCTGAAGATTTAATAGAAAATTACAGAGGTATAAAAATATTGTAATTGAAAATGATTTAAAAGATATTGAAAGGAAAATGCTAGGGGTACACCTTTGGTGTACCCCAAACATCCCTCATCCCCTCCATCACCATACAAAAAGGCAAGAAAAATTCAAAAAAAAGTAAAATTAAAAATAAAATAAAATGAATGGTAAAGAGGGGGTGATGTACATTTGGGGTACACCTTTGGTATACCCCTAGCATATCCCATATTGAAATGATAATGATCGCGTATTCTTTTTGGAAAAAATATATAGATTACTACCTCCGTCCCGCTATATTCGTCCACTTTTGACTTTTGGAACTGTTCATCTAAGCACTTTGACTCATCAAATTCTCTCAATGTGTAAGCCTAAATATAGTCATGTGTGATCTTGTTTGATTTGTCTTAACATATAGATTATTAATATATAATTTCTATAATTTTTTAATTTACACATTACAAGATAAAATAGATTAAAGAAGTACATTGGATGGTGTGTGAAAATGAAAGTGGACAAATACTCTGGGACGGATGGAGTATATTTGTGTGTCATAGTATAGCATTGATCTATTTTAAGGTAATACGATGCTTTGTTCAACTCTCAAGTAATTCTTAATAAGGATAGTCTAAACCTCACTTTTTTTAAGAACCAATAACTCTTTTATGATTATAGTATTTGTTCATTCAAACTTTTTTAAGTTATTTAAACATTTAGAGTTACCGTCTACACTAGAGGTTAAACTCATGACCTCGCATTTGGAGAAGTCACATCCGACCGCTCAAATAAATAACCTTCATCTTGTAACTCAAATTCAATTTGAAAAGAGTGTTTATACATATGTTGTAAAAATAATGATGGACAAATTACTTGTATCCTCCCCATATACTAGGGGTGACAATGGTACAGTATTTAGCCTCTACCGATATCGTACCAAATATTTTGGCTCGGTATGAGATTTTCGTCGTACTGATCTTGATATTTTGGTTCGAGATGATTCAGTATCGGTTTCGAGATAAATAATGATGAATACATACGCACCTAATTTAGACTTTAAAATGTCAAAAAAAATATTTATTTTTTTTGAATCGAAAGTATATTTAATCAAAAAACATAAAAAATAAAAAAATTAAATGTAAGAAATGCTTATTAAACTTTGTTTATATCTCACAAACAACAGTGAACGGATGGTAATAAAAAGATATTTAAAATGTCTATTACAGTACTCCGTACTATTTTAAAATTCTTCTACAAAAAATTAAAACTCAACTGAAAGTACAATGTACACATAATAAAATTTGAGCCAAATTTTAAAGACAAACTTACCATTCAATGAAAAAATACAAAAGAATATTATATTTATAATATATTAGTATATATATTCGATTCGAAATTTTTAATATGGGTTCGTACCATTTCCAAAAACCAAACTGAATGTGTTTGATTCAGTACAGTTTGGTATTTTAGCTTTTTAATTCATTATTTTTCCGTTTGATTTTTTTCATTCTTTTTTGGAATGAGTTTGACATTTGCTCAACTGTAGTATATACCAAGACTAATTTTGGAAAATGCATGAAAGTTCAACCATTGGCCCTTGCAACATTCAAACTTGTGTTCATATTGGAAAATACATAAAAGTTCAACCATTGACCCTTGCAACATTCAAACTTGTGTTCATATCTTGTTCGCACGTACGGAGTATTTTTAGTCATTGGAAGCACTTGGCTCGTACATTAGCACCTAGTGCATAAACGCAGCGTACACAAAAATAGGTTACTACATTGTGAAATTTGCACTAAATAAAACTAAAACATAATGACTTTCTTAACGTAGTACTTAAACTTTTTTATTTCATAAATAGGACTTAATAATGACCTAGTGGAAGGAATAATGTCCAGCAATGATACACATTTAGTTGAATAATGACTTCGTGATAATGACCAAAAGTCCTACATTGGGAAATAAAAACATATGGTCATATATTGGGAAAGTCATTATGTTTTAGTCCTATTTAGGTAAATTTCTCTACTACATTTGCACATCAGCGAACACAAACAAACACAAAAACTTAGTATCTGTGAATCAAGACACTAAGAGCTTATTCTTTAGGATTTGAAAAAAGAGTTGGTTGTTGTAAGAAACTGGAAGAAACTAGAATAAACCGGAAGAAACTAGAAAGAACTGGAAGAAACTGGAAAAAACTTAAAAAATGTGAAAAAACTAGAAAAAATTAGAAAATCTAAAAAAACTTTTAAAATTTTTTTGTGTGTTTTTATATTATTCTCATTCTAATTCTTGTTGTTATAAATTATTATTATCATCATCATCATCATTGTTTTTGTTGTTGTTGTTGGTATCATCACGTTATCTTAAAGAATGCCTTTAAGATAAAAAAATATTTTTATTTTTCATAAAAAAAAAATTACTTTTGAAAAAAATTTAATTAGAATACAAAATTAGCATAAATATCAAAATGTTAAATACTTAAAAGTTATTATGGCTATGCAGTATTTATCATAAAATAATATATTTGCAATTATATTTTATATATTACAAGATTTTGTTTTAAATATCGGACATATCACATAATGTAATCAAACCTATTTTTTCTTTAATGATTGAAATTTTATTTTCATTGTAACCATACTTCTGGAATAAAGACATAGAATTTTTTTTAATATTTTTTTATGTTTTACTCCTACTTTAGTCATTTTCTCTAAAGTACTCTCACTTTCAAAATTTTCTATAAAAATTAGAGAAATAAAAAACAAAATTAATTTTTTAAATAAATAATGAAGAGAAAAAATTGAGTAATACAACATAAATTTTTTGTTGTTTGTATAAATTGACTTTCAAAAGTATAAATTGTTTTTTGTTTTATTCTAATTATTGTTGATATTATTTGTTATCTGAATTTCTTTTTTTACACTTTTTTGATCATTTTTTCTTTTTCAAAATGTAGTTCTCTCTTGGTTTTCATAATGTAGTACTCCCCACCCCCATTTCATTTTTATATTTTAGATTAAAATATTGATGTTTACTTTATATAAATTTAGATTAAAAAACATTCTATGTAACTATTTTATCCATAATTTTTTTTAATAGTTTAAAATATTGATGTTTTCCTATTTTATCATGTAGACTAATATACAAAAAAATTATATTATTCATGTTAAAAGGTTGAAGAAAAAATAATAATGAGTTTGAATCATAAAAATAGTGAGATGAAAAAAAAACAATTTATAGACTATAGTTATGAACATAATAGTTGTAATAATAATAATAATAATAATAATAATAATAGTAATAATAATAATAATAATAATAATAATAATAATAATTGTTGGGTTCAAGAACTCAGGGCCTAAGAGACTAGGCGAAGGAATATCAAGCTGAGTCAAGAGTGCACAAGTTGAGAATCAAGTAAGATTGTAAGTATTAATGTGCTAATCAGAACGTGTCCCTCTTTCTCTCAAGAAAGGGTTTATATACAAACTACAGATTGGGTTCCCGACCGTTGGTCCAAATCCCAACAGATCGGGCCCACTAAGATTTGGTTGTTCAGTGGCAACGCCTAACCACATCATTATTCCTAGGGCAGCTATATAAAAGTAAGTTACAAATAGGGCGGCTAAAACCACTCTGATAGAGGTATGGCAGGGTCCAATCGTGAGCCCTTGATCTTGACGTATTAGACAGTTCCCATGCATAGTATTGGTCCAATCGTGGGCTCTTGATCTTGACTGGTTAGACCCTTACTTTTAATTTTCTCCATACTTTAATCCTAGTTTAGTTTTTCCGCTAGCATGAGGAAAAATCAATCCTTTATTCAAAAGCATAAGAAATGTTGACCATTTTTTCCTACCTATAACTTTACTTTATAAATGGTATGTGTGTTGAGTGTGCATAAATAAATATTGTGTTATAAATAAAGGATTGATTCCCCATACGCATAAGTAGTAACATAATTTATGATATTCATATCATATACTATATGAAAATAACAATATAAATAGGTAACATAAATAAATAATATGGTCCTAAATAATAAAAAATGAGTATATTTTCACTTCCTTAGTTCCTTATACATATATGCCCGGGTAATAATGAATATCAACATAATAATATAAGTAATATAATCTACGCTTATGGTAACATAAATCAATGTTAAAAAACAAATTAAAGGATTGATTTTGAACTTTCTTATATACATAAACGTATAAAATACGTAAATAGAAACATAAATAAATTCAGAAAATTACTCGCGGGTGACGCGAGTTTTGTCGAAATAACTTTCAGGTCCCTTTATTTTCAAAAAGACAACCGAGGTCCTTATATTTTGTTGTAATGACTGGGAGGGGACATTTCATCCAATACATCATCCGTAAGTGTTAATAAATGCATTTTTTTCGTATTTTTCCAATACCGTTTTTTCCTATTTTGCCATTACCTTGTTTTTTCTTTTTTTAAAATTTTTTTTATTTGAATAGTTTTAATATAATACTAACAATTTTGAATTTTTATACAATTTTATAGAAGAAATTCAAAAATAACACTTTAAAAATTAGTAACAAAATGAAAGAAAAACAAAGAAATAAAAAAAGGAGCGAACTAAGATTTATTACCTTAAAACATTTAGAAAAGAATAGGAAAAAAATACATTTATTAACGTTTATAGATGAAATATTGGATGAAATGTCTCCTTCCAGTCTTTACAGCAAAATGTAAGGACCTCTGCTGCCTTTTTGAAAATAGAGGGACCTAGGAGTTATTTCAACAAAACTCGCGTCACCCGTGAGTAATTTTCTGTAAATAAATTGGTAATCCTACTATAATTTAAACAATATAAAGACTTGATTTTGTAATAATAATAATAATATTCTGGAATAATTATAAATAATATGATTTAAGTATATATGGTAACATAAATCAACCGTAACATAAATAATAAATACTAGTACAATTTTGTGTATATAAATACGTTCTTTCTCATAAAATACGTAAATGGAAGCACAAATAAACAATAATGGAAAATATTATATATTAGACTTTGTGTAGTAGATATTGTAACATAAATAAATGATAATATAAATAATAAATACAAGTAAGATTTTGTGTTTATTCATTACTACGTAATTATTTTGAATTTGGACCGAGTCGGTCCGAATTTCGCGAATACCTTTGCGAGTCGAGCCAACTTGTAGCCCACGAGTACTCATACAACCTGAACTCAAATTTTAATTGTTAAGCTAGATAAACGGGCCTTGTCACCATCTGGTTTTGGCTGGGTTTGGAATTGAGTCTGACCCGCACTTTGATAAATTAATTGGACAAAGTTTTTCCTAAAAAACAAAACAGAGAGAAAGATAAAGTCACACGGACTATATACATTCTTTCCGAATTAGTAGAAAGTACAGGGGTCATATTTAGCATTCACAGAACTCGAAGCCCCAATGGCAAACCCTTGGCGGTGCTCCGTCTATATATAGACCCCCCTAGGCTCCCATTTTCCATTGATCAAACCCCTTCTTCATCGAGAAGAAGAGAGAGGCGAAATCCCAGATCTAGAGCGAAGAGAGACTAATTGACGAACAGATAATTAGACGATAAAACAAATCTAAGATTCAAAATTCTTTTGAGAACAGAACAACGATCTAATTTTTTGAAAACCCTAGAACTTTTAATTCGATCGGCATGGCCGCCATGGATTCGCGGTTTCCGTTCTCTCCGGCGGAGGTAGCCAAGGCCCGAATGGTCCAGTTCGGCATACTCAGCCCAGACGAAATCGTAATTCCGATCCACTGTGATTTTTGTAGTAATTTGATGAGGGGTTTTCCCTGTTGCCCAATTACTGAATTCGTTGTGTTGATGATTTCGAATTGTGTTGCAGCGGCAAATGTCAGTGGTGCATATCGAGCACAGCGAGACGACTGAGAGGGGAAAGCCTAAGCCTGCTGGTCTAAGCGACCCTCGGCTTGGGACTATTGACCGGAAGATGAAGTGTGAGACTTGTATGGGCAGCATGGCTGAGTGTCCTGGTCACTTTGGCCATCTTGAGCTCGCCAAGCCAATGTTTCACATTGGGTTCATGAAACCCGTGCTTAGTATTCTTCGTTGTGTCTGCTTCAATTGCTCCAAAATCCTCGCAGACGAGGTACTTTGGTGGCCTCTGAAGTTATTTCATGTTATGTAAAAAAAAACATGAATTTTAGTAAGAGCAAGACAAATGCAGCATAAGTTAAAGAGAACCATTATGACAAGCTAAATTATTTTGTACTCCATAATCATGAGTGTAAGTTAACTGCATAACCTTTCTTTCAAGAGGGTAAGCATAGATTTCAGAATGATTTTGTGACACAAAATAAACAGTTTTATAGCTGTTTTTTTATCCCTAAATATGAAAGCCTTGCTTTTCAGGATGATCCCAAATTCAAACAAGCAATTAGAAGAAGAAATCCTAAGGAGAGGCTAAGAAAGATTCAGGATGCATGCAAAAACAAGAACAAATGTGAAGGAGGGGATGAATTAAATGTACAAAGCCAAGATCCTGACCAGCCTGTCAAGAAGACTAGAGGTGGTTGTGGGGCTCAGCAGCCTAAGATTAGCATAGATGGCATGAAAATGGTTGCAGAGTATAAAGCTCAGAAGAAGAAGAATGACGACCAAGAACTGCAGCCAGAGCCAGGGCGCAAACAACTCACTGCAGAAATGGTATTGTCTTAAACAAGCCTTTTTTAATGTGCTTGGTTGGTCGGTCGGTAGGTCATGCATCTTCATTTTATGCTTACTGATTTCTAATTCGGCTCTACAGGTCCTCAGCATTCTGAAGCGTGTAAGTGATGAAGATTGTCAATTGTTAGGGCTAGACCCCAAATTTGCTCGCCCTGATTGGATGATACTTCAAGTGCTTCCTGTACCCCCACCTCCTGTTAGACCCTCTGTAATGATGGATACATCATCCAGGAGTGAGGTAAGCTTTTCTATCGAGGTTTTTGATTTCCTCCCTATATTCACAAATTGGCAAAAGTTTTCCTTGTTTGTCGTTTGCTTTATTTGTGCAGGGGGCTATTTTGTATAAAGTGAATATTCTATTTGGATTGTGGATGAGTATTGATTCTTTAAACTTGGTGTAGGATGATTTGACTCATCAGCTAGCTATGATTATCCGGCACAATGAAAACTTGAAGAGACATGAACGCAATGGGGCACCTGCACATATCATTTCTGAGTTTGCTCAGTTATTGCAGTTCCATATTGCCACTTATTTTGATAATGAACTTCCTGGGCAACCTAGGGTATGAGTGATTTTTTCCCCACTCAATTCCAAAGTACTTTTTCTTTCTCAAGTGATTGAAATGCTGGTTTTGGTATTCAGGCCACTCAAAGGTCAGGTAGACCTATCAAATCAATATGTAGTAGATTAAAAGCAAAAGAAGGTCGGATCAGGGGCAACTTGATGGGTAAACGAGTGGATTTTTCTGCTCGAACTGTGATCACACCCGACCCAACCATTAACATAGACCAATTGGGAGTCCCATGGAGTATTGCTCTGAATCTCACTTATCCAGAAACTGTGACACCATACAATATTGAGAGGTTTTTTCTCATTTACATAAGCCCACCTCCTCTAAACACTAACAAAAAACATCAGTTTACTTGACCGTCTTTCTAATTCTCCCTTAAACAGGCTGAAGGAGCTTGTTGAGTATGGTCCTCATCCTCCACCTGGCAAAACCGGTGCCAAGTATATAATCAGGGATGATGGACAAAGGCTTGATCTCCGTTATTTGAAGAAAAGCAGTGACCAACACCTTGAGCTTGGATATAAGGTGAACTTCAACCTGCCTCAACATTGTTAATCATGGCTAGATGATCTATGTTAAATTTTCACTGCATTAATGCATTCTAACGTTCATCACTGATTCAGGTGGAGCGGCACTTAAACGATGGAGATTTTGTCCTTTTCAACCGGCAACCTAGTCTGCACAAGATGTCTATAATGGGGCATAGGATAAAAATCATGCCATACTCAACTTTCCGGTTGAACTTGTCTGTTACCTCTCCCTATAATGCCGATTTCGATGGTGATGAGATGAACATGCATGTACCACAGTCATTTGAAACTAGAGCTGAAGTACTTGAACTCATGATGGTTCCCAAGTGCATTGTGTCACCCCAAGCAAATAGACCTGTCATGGGAATTGTCCAGGATACACTTCTAGGATGTCGCAAAATCACTAAAAGAGACACTTTTATTGAGAAGGTGGTGATATTTGAAATTCATATTGTTGTTTTCTTCACCCCCGTCTACACATTTTGTTTTCACTTATATTTATTTTCTGACAGCAGAGTTTTTTTCCTATACTGTATTCAGGATGTTTTTATGAACATATTGATGTGGTGGGGGGATTTTGATGGAAAGGTTCCTGCCCCGGCAGTTTTGAAACCCAGGCCTCTTTGGACAGGGAAACAAGTCTTTAATCTTATCATACCAAAGACAATTAACCTGCTGAGATATTCATCATGGCATTCGGATTCTGAAAAGGGGTATATTACTCCCGGGGATACTCAAGTTAGAATTGAAAAAGGGGAGTTGCTCACTGGAACTCTTTGTAAGAAGAGTCTTGGGACATCCACTGGAAGTTTAATACACGTTATCTGGTATCAATCTTTACACCACATCTTCCTTCGTAGTTAACATGTCATGTTACTTAAGTTGCACAAAGGTTTAAGACTGGTGATTAATTTGTTCCAATTAACACTATGCGAAGTGTACATAAGCAGACTTGTGGTTGTTTTAGTAAATACTACGCATGTACATTGTGACATGGCAATATAATAATCTGATAACTCTTCTGCACAGGGAAGAGGTAGGACCTGATGCAGCTCGTAAATTTTTGGGGCATACTCAGTGGCTTGTTAACTATTGGCTATTGCAAAATGCTTTTAGTATTGGAATAGGGGATACAATTGCTGATGCTCAAACCATGAAAAATATCCGTACAACCATCTCGGAAGCAAAGAACGAAGTGAAAAAACTCATCATCGCTGCCCGAGATGAGCAGTTAGAGGCTGAACCCGGGCGAACAATGATGGAGTCATTTGAGAATAAAGTTAATCAGGTATGCTAACAAAGAATTGATGTTGCTTTCCTTGTGATCTGATGTTTGCACCCCTCCCACCCACTCATAAAATCTGACATCCTCTTTGTATATTCATTCAGGTTTTGAACAAGGCTAGGGATGATGCTGGAACTTTTGCTGAGAAGAGTTTGGCGGAGAGCAATAATCTCAAAGCTATGGTTACTGCTGGATCAAAGGGAAGTTTTATCAACATTTCACAAATGACTGCCTGTGTGGGGCAGCAGAATGTTGAAGGAAAGCGAATACCCTTTGGCTTCATAGCCAGGACATTGCCCCATTTTACCGTGGATGACTTCGGTCCAGAAAGCCGTGGCTTTGTTGAGAACTCTTATTTACAAGGATTGACTCCACAGGAGTTCTTTTTCCATGCTATGGGTGGTAGAGAAGGACTGATTGATACTGCAGTGAAAACTTCAGAGACTGGTTACATTCAGAGGCGGTTGGTTAAAGCCATGGAAGATATCATGGTCAAATATGATGGGACTGCAAGGAACTCTTTAGGAGATGTTATCCAGTTTCTTTATGGGGAAGATGGTATGGACTCGGTTTGGATAGAAACACAAAAGCTGGAGTCCTTGAAAGTCAAGAAATCAACTTTTGATGACATGTACAAATACGAGATTGATGATCCGAACTGGAATCCGAATTACATGTCCCCAGATGCGATTGATGATTTGCGGTTAATAAGAGAGATTCGCAGTGTCTTTGATGCAGAGGTTCAGAAGCTTGAGTCTGACAGACTCCAGCTTGGAACAGAGATTGCGGTCAACGGTGATAATTCTTGGCCACTCCCTGTTAACATTCAGAGACTGGTATTGAATGCTCAAAAGACTTTTAAGATTGACTTTCGAAGACCATCTGATATGCATCCTATGGAGATTGTGGAAGCCGTTGACAAATTACAAGAAAGATTGAAGGTTGTTCATGGTGATGACTATCTCAGCATAGAGGCTCAAAAAAATGCAACACTCTTCTTCAATATTTTGCTTCGTAGTGCCTTGGCCAGTAAAAGGGTCCTGAAGGAGTACAGGCTAACTAGAGAAGCTTTTGATTGGGTTATAGGAGAGATTGAGTCTCGCTTCTTACAGTCACTTGTTGCGCCAGGGGAAATGATTGGCTGTGTTGCTGCACAGTCCATAGGCGAACCCGCCACACAAATGACTCTTAACACCTTCCATTATGCTGGTGTTAGTGCCAAGAATGTCACACTTGGTGTCCCTAGGCTAAGGGAGATCATAAATGTGGCTAAGAAAATTAAAACCCCATCTCTATCTGTGTATCTTAAGCCAGAAGTTGGTAAAACAAAGGAGAGAGCTAAAACGGTCCAGTGTGCTTTGGAGTACACGACCTTGAGGAGTGTAACTGAAGCAACAGAAATTTGGTATGATCCCGACCCTATGAGCACTCTCATTGAAGAGGATGCCGAGTTCGTTAAGTCGTATTATGAGATGCCTGACGAAGAGATTGATCCTGGCAAGATCTCTCCATGGTTGCTTCGAATTGAATTGAATCGTGAGATGATGGTAGACAAGAAACTCAGCATGGCTGACATTGCAGAAAAGATCAACCTTGAATTTGATGACGACCTGACATGCATATTCAATGACGATAATGCTGAGAAGTTGATACTTCGGATCCGCATAATGAACGAAGAAGCTCCCAAGGGTGAATTGGATGATGTATCCGCCGAGGATGACGTTTTCCTTAAGAAGATTGAGACCAACATGTTAACAGAGATGGCTCTTCGTGGCATCCCTGACATAAACAAAGTGTTCATCAAGAACACCAAAGTGCAAAAGTTTGACGTGGATGAAGGGTTTAAAGCCGAAAATGAATGGATGTTAGACACAGAGGGTGTGAATCTCTTAGCAGTTATGTGTCATGAAGATGTTGATGCTAGAAGAACGACAAGCAATCACTTGATTGAAGTCTTTCAGATTCTCGGGATTGAGGCAGTCCGCAAGTCGTTACTTGATGAATTGCGTGCTGTGATATCTTTTGATGGCTCTTATGTAAATTACAGACATCTGGCCATTTTGTGTGATGCCATGACCTATCGCGGCCATTTGATGTCCATCACTCGGCATGGGATCAATCGAAATGATACGGGGCCCATGATGAAGTGTTCATTTGAAGAGACCGTGGACATTCTTCTTGATGCGGCTGTGTACGCTGAGCCGGACTACTTGAGGGGTGTTACTGAAAATATTATGTTGGGTCAGCTTGCACCGATAGGTACGGGTGACTGTGCTTTGTTCCTGAATGAGGAGATGTTGAAACAAGCTATTGAAATCCCACTGCCTAGTTACATGGATGGCGGTCTTGAGTTTGGGATGACTCCTCGACGCTCTCCGCTAAGTGGGACCCCCTACCATTACCATGATGGTCTTATGTCTCCTATGATGAGTCCAAATTTCAGAATGTCGCCCTCTACGGATGCTGTGTTTTCTCCTTTGATTGGTGGGATGGCTTTTTCACCCTCTTCTTCCCCATTTAGCCCACCATCATCTGGGTATAGTCCGTCCTCACCTTCAAACCTTGCATCTTCTCCCATTTATAGCCCCCTAAGCCCCAACTCCTCTTCTGGTTACAGTCCCACAAGTCCCATATATTCTCCCACCAGTCCAGTATACTCACCAACTTCTCCAAATTACAGCCCTACATCTCCAAATTACAGCCCGACCTCGCCAAGTTACAGCCCTACCTCCCCCAGTTATAGCCCTACCTCGCCGAGTTACAGTCCTACATCACCTGCCTACAGTCCTACCTCTCCTGCGTACAGCCCAACCTCACCATCGTATAGCCCAACATCGCCATCGTATAGTCCCACTTCTCCATCTTATAGTCCAACATCACCAAGCTATAGTCCTACATCACCAGCATACAGTCCTACCTCTCCTGGGTATAGTCCCACATCGCCAAGCTATAGTCCCACCTCACAAAGTTACAATCCTTCAGCAAGATACAGCCCGTCACTTGCATACTCGCCCACTAGTCCCAAGTTGTCTCCCAGTCCGTATAGCCCTTCTTCCCCAAGTTACAGGTATGTAACTCAAGACTTTCTTCCACTGGAGTTTACAATATAGATCTTATCATTAACATCAGTTATAATTCAAATCAAATTTATGGTTAATGGGCAGGATCATATTTTGATTATCAAATTATGTATTGGGGAAGCCAGTAACTTAAAGTCTAGAGCTTTTATGAGATTGTAGGATCACAAAGTGTTTTCCTATGTCGCAAATTTGATTTCCTTTTTTTTTTAAAGAGTGTCAATCTGCAGCTTGTTTAGTATCTGTTTGGGAATGCTCTCTTTTGTGAACGTGATGTTTTTGTTAAAATCCCTTTCTAGTTTCAACCCATGAAAAGCTAAAAACTAATAATTTCCAATATAGTAAAATAACATTCATTTCTATGAAATCAGATATAATTTGCTTTTGAAATTTTGAGCAAGTGCTTCTACTTGTCCTCATAGGTTATCCCAAAAAACTCTAACACTATGTTTGGTTCAAGGAATTTGAGAAGGAAAAGATTTGGTTAGAGAGGAAAAGAAAATAAGTGTGGACGGAAAAAAATGGAGAAGGCAGAATATATTAAGAGTGAGAGAGAAACCAAATTTCAATCAATTTTCTTTTCTTTTTCTTCCAAATTCCTGAAACCAAACGTAGTGTAAGAATTAAAAGTGTTCTAGTTATTTTGAATGTTACTAAGCAATTATTCTTTTTCTTGCAAAATGCTTTATTTTTATATAGAAGGTGCTTTCCTTCCTTGAAAATATGTCCCGTCACACACTCTTTAGTATATGCCTCATAATAATGCACACATTTTGTTTTCCAATACGTAGTTATAATATGCTTTACTAATGCTGCAGTCCTACATCTCCCTCGTACTCACCAACATCTCCTACTTACTCGCCTTCAAGCCCAACTTATAGTCCAACCAGGTAAAATATATTCATATGCTCCGTCTGTTTTAATTATAAATTATTGTCTTTCTTTGAGTACTCAAAATGGAACAACTTTTTTGTTGTGATGACATTTCAGCCCATACAACTCGGGCACTAGTCCGGACTACAGCCCTAGCTCTCCTCCGTACAGGTATGAACATATTAAATTACTTCAGGCATGTATTAAAGCCTGTCTCAACTTTTGTCTTATTAGTGCTAAAACTGCTTGTGTCTCAGTCCAAGTGCAGGGTACTCCCCCAGTGCACCTGGGTATTCGCCGTCTTCTACAAGCCAATATACACCTCAGATGAGCGATGGGGATGACAAGAGCGTCAAAGATGACAAGAGCATTCGCTAGAGACCTGAGTCTGTTGGTACTCAGAAATTGGCGTAAGGCTCACCCTTATAACTCCCTCTGCTTGATAATCCATGTGAAAAATGGGACTTATTTTCTATAAAGAGTAAGTTCAAGAAATGGTCCCCAATTATAGGTGTTTTTCCATATTTAGTCCTCAATTATAAGATATTACATGAATGATCCTCAATTTTTGAAAACTATTTCATAAATAGTGTTTTTAGGCCAAATTTGACAAAAAAAAATCCACATGTAGTGCCTGAAGGACTGTTTTTGAATATCTTAAAATTGGGGACTACATATAGAAAAACATATGTAATTAGGGACTGTTTATGGAATTAATTCTTTTATAAAAATAGTATGATAATTGCTTTTTGAGCCGGGTCTCTTGGAAACATCTCTACTTTCAACCTACACGTGGATTTTTCAAATGTCCCAGTTTTGGAACTTCATAAAATTTTGAAAAATTGGTGTTTTGATTATCCCGGTCTTGTCGAAGCATCCGCCCTTATCTTTGTTCAATAGCTTTTGAGTTGGGGTAAGGCTTGCATACTCAAACCCTCCCTAGATCCACAGACCCTACGTTCGTGGGAGTTTACCGTGTATGTCGTGGATGGAAGTTGGGGCGTGAAACGTTATTTATGAGTAAAACAATTACAGTGTGTATTTACTATGTTGGGGTGGTTGACAGGTGAATGGGACATTTCACTAGTAAAAATTTCTCAATCAAAAAAGGTATGTTGAGAGAATTCTGTGAGAGCCCAAAAAAGGTGAACTCCAAAAGATTGTTCTTGGAATGTGATGATGATGGGAGTAAAAATGACCATTGCTCTTTGCTTTTACTATGATGATTTGTTCACAGAGACTGTATATGGACATTTTGGTCAAATTTTTCTACTCCTTTCCACAATGTAAAAATACATTTCAGCTTGACACTTTTGTAAATGAACAAATACTTGCTTTGTACTTGTTTGTTTTACTACCCATTGTAACCTTTTAAATGAAGCAAAGATGTGTGGCCCACAAGTGGCATGGGAGTAAGAAGTTAGAAACATTTTTGATTCCCCCCACCCCATCTATTTCTCTTTTGGGATGTTCCAAAAATTCCATTTTCATAGCAATGATGTATTGTACACTTCTCTTTTGAGAAAAAGTATAAAAGTATGTGGCTCATTACATTCTTCTCTTTTGAACAAACTTTGGGTTCACATTGGTTTATTTTTCAACACACACACACACACACACACATATATATATATGTATATATATTGAAGTTAACATAAAAATTTATTCTAGAATAGATGGAGCACTTGTCCTTTCCCATGTATTGTTATTATTTTTTCATTCGTTTAAGAATATTTTTTGTGGAGTACTTTCTTTTTCAGGACAAATATTTTTAGTCCTATTTTTTTTTGTAAATAAATTTGAAGTATACTTTTTTTTTTTCAATTTCTTAATTTTTGCCAATGACATCTGTAAAATCCAAATGGGGTGGAAAAATTTCCTTACCAAGGAGCTAGGCTTTTTGAGTGATTTTTAATATTCAAATAATTTTACAATTTAAATTAAATATTAGTCACATAATTTTCATTCTTAGATATTTGTTTCACTTTCTTGGGAGTAATAGCTTGGCGTATTTCACAATTTGTGTCATGTAGTCGTTGATTTTTGTGGTATTTTAATGAGGGTTATCTTAGATGACACCACGGTCTCACAGATACATTGGATATAATGATTGTTTTTGTTCGATTATCAACAATATTAGTCATTTTTGGGGTTAAATATCGTTTTTGATTAACGTATTATAAATAAATAGTTTTATTGATCTCTAATTATGATGTTATGGAATGCAGACGAAGTGAGGTTGCAAATTGTGTAGGGTCATTCTAAATAAAGAAGCTTTGGTGACAAATGTGGCATCATTGTAATGGAGGACTTTGCAGTATTATGTTCCTTTGAATTTTATGAGAACTCTTTTTTTTTATTATGTCCCGGTGTCTTATAAAAATACCGGGTAAGGTTTGTCTATGTAACACTTTTGTGATGGGACTTTTCTCATACTCTCTTTGTTGGGATTCTTTGTGCACGAGGTTGTTCTTTGCTCCTATTGTCTTTTTCTTTGTGTTTGAATTGAATTGTTAAACATGGAATTGCGTCGTATTTGTTTTGTTTTATTTTATTATACTCCGTAGTTTAAACTCTATGACTTTAGTTTTCGGTAGTACTTTGTGTCTCATGAATTTATTGTGGGTAGGAGTGAGATATGCCTTATGAAATTTGGGGAATGTGGAAAAATGATTTATATGGAATCAATATTACTGCTTAAAATGTGAAGTAATGTGGTTGGGAAATGATACAATGGGGAGGAAAATTGTATCAACTGTGGTTAAGCACACTTAAGTTGTGTTTTTGAAAAATTTTAGTACGAAAAACGAAGTACTATTATTAATTCTAAAAATAGCTAAATGAACATGTATAAATTTACTCGTAAAAGAGTTTCAATAAAATCGAATAGAGAATAAGTGTTGTGTACAAAACAAATCAATTTACTCTTTTTTTTTTTTTATGAATTCATCTTGATTTTCTTCTCGTACAATTTTTTTCTATTACTACTAACAAATTCAAACGCCTAATTTTTTGACGAAATTACTCTAAATAGAAGTTAAACATTGAGAATGAATCAAAATAAAAATTTCATACAGTTTCGAACGATAATCGTATCTGTTACCAATTGGATGTTCTTAATTGAATACGAAGGATATCCAATTTAAATAGATACAAATATTTTTTGTATAAGCAGATGAAGATACGAACCATAATCGAATTTTTTAATATTTGTTTAGGGTCATTCATATTTTTTGAAATTCATGTTTTTTTAAAGGATATTATTTCGGGCCAAATCCACAATTTGTGTCATAAAGGCATTTACAGCCATGCCCATCCCGCCACGTTGCACGGAATCCCGACCAATTTGCGGCTCGCCCGCCTCTGCAACCCTTTCGGCACACCACACGTCGGGCTCCTCGCCCCAAACGCGGCACCAACTTTAAATTCAACACATCTTCCACTTCAATCCATCCAATTTTATCTCTCTAAATTTACTTATTTTTTTAGGAAAATGCTAGGGGTACACCAAAGGTTAAAAAATAGGAAATAGGAAAATCCCTCACCCCCTCCTTATCCACATAAATAGGAAAGAAAATTTAAAAAAAAAACAAGTAAATCAAAATGAAATAAAAATGAATGGTTATGGAGATGGTGGTGTACATTTGGGGTACACCCCTAGCATATCCATTTTATTAACTTCTCTTCATAGTTTTCGTCTTTTTTTTATTGTTTTTCATTTTTTTAATTTAAATTATGTTTTAGTGTATTTCATCTTTTATAATGATGTTGTATTAAATGAAGTGTGTCAATCTTAACATTTTTATTTTAATTATATGCATTTTGTTTTTTTAAAAACTATAATTAAAAATGATAAATAACGGGAAAAAAATGAAGAAACAGGTGTTTAAGACGATATCATTGCAGAATTTTGGGTCTAGATGGAAAAATTAATGGAATACTAATGTCGCAGGAGTTGGGGTGGACCCCATGGATTTGTGCCCCATATTATGCACCATAAAGATGCATCAATATTTTGTGTTAGTGTAATGTAAATTTTTGTTAACGCATAAATGGAATACAAATATTGGCGTGCTCCCTTTCAAAATGCTGTAAATGCTCTAAAGTCTAAAGCCGTTCCCAAACGACGCCTTCCGATTTCCAAGACAGTATTTTTAATTTTTATACGAGAAATTTTTTAAACATAATCTTCTCCCCCTCTCTCGCCATCTTAGGGTTTCGTTCTCTGGCAGATTCGCTGGATCGGAAATGGTAAACACGCCGTCTATATGCTCTTAGTTACTAAGATAACCAATCTATGCGCTCTAGATTTGTTATCTCTTATCGATTGTCTGTAATTTGACCGATGCTTAAGGAACCTCATTTTTTTCGCAGGCTGATTCTCCACGCAGAAGGTAAATCTGTTTGATTATTTTTTTCAATTCGTTCTCCTTGGGGTTACATGTATGGATTGCAATAACTACGTGTGGCGATTGTGTTGAAATTTCTACCTAGGGTTTTGTTCTCGCTGTTGGATCGTCCTTTGGAATTGAAGAGTTTAAATAAATGTTATGACACGAGGGTTGTACATTTGAGATTTTCTAGACTGATTACGAAGATTTTCATGTTCATGGATTTTAACACGCGTTTGTGATAGGATTTTTGTGAGATTTTACAAGTCATGTGAGGATTGTTTATCAACTTTGAGTAATAATTACGGAGTATAAGTTAGCCTGACTTAGGTATCTTCAAAAAATTATTTTTCTTGTATTTGTAAGTAGAAGATTGAATTAACAAAAAATTATTTTTCTTGTATTGGTAAGTAGAAGATTGAATTAACAAAATATGCAGCTCAGGTGCTCTTTTGGGATGTTATCATGTTCTTTGATTTACTTAAATTGTTCACAATGTTTACAATAAATGGCTTGTCTTGACAGTATTGATTACTCTGCTGTGAGATCTTTCTCTGGCAGGTATTCACTATCTCCTTCTCCAATAAGAGATAGGTCTCGCTCTATATCAAGGTCAAGGTCTTGCTCTAGATCATGGTCAAGGAAACGGGGGCGCTCTAGAAGTCGTGACAGGTGAATTTGTGGTCTTACTCTTTCACATCATAGTCTGTTTTATTTCTAAAAATGTCATCCCATAAGAACTGAATGTGTCCGCAAAACATGGTGGTAGTTGTAAATTATGTATTCTTCCATGGTAAACTGTGCAGGACTGTCGCTTCTAATCCGGGGGACACCCTCTATGTGACTGGTTTGTCTTCTAGAGTTACAGAAAAGGACCTTCAAGAACATTTCTCCCAGGAGGGAAAAGTATGCTCTATCAATCAGTTTCCATCTAGATTTGGTTTTACTTCATTACATTTCCTTAAGGGTTAAGAAACTTGATCTTCAGGAGTTTTTGTGGTAGATAGATGCTCTCTCTGCTACAAATTGTGTGTGTGTGGGTGCTGTTTTTTTTTTAAATTTTTTACTGTTGAAGATGTGTTATTGTTCATATTTAACTAGCAATCTTCAACTCAATTTTGAATTTTAGGCATTGCATTTTATTTAGTGATGTTTCATTTTCCCTTTTAGCTCTAATGCCTGCTTTACTTTACTCAGTTAGCAGGGACACTTCAGTTTTGTTTTTTTTAAGAATTTGCACTCATCTAATGATTTCTTTTCTTTTAGCTCTAAACCTTTTTTTCACTTAATAGTATTATTTATCAAATTTTAAAAGTCAAGAATTTCTCATCATTTATTGAGCTTAATTTTTAGCCGCAATGTCATTTCACTAAGCCCAAAAGCAACCATCAGCTTCAATTTGAATTTTAGGCATTTATTCACATTAATTGCGATTTTTGAATTTCTTATGATTTTTTAATAATATATAATAGGTAAAATCAGTATTTTTAGTAGTGGAGCCACGATCTCGTATCTCCCGTGGTTTTGCTTTTGTGACAATGGAAAGTGCTGATGATGCAAGTCAATGTGTCAAACATCTCAATCAATCAGTTCTTGAAGGCCGATACATAACTGTGGAGAAGGTAAAAGCTTATATATAACTGAGTGCTGAAGAGTGACCCACTTGTTTTGCTGGGTGGATGATATTCTGACTATATTTAGAACACATTGTGTCAGCTTTGTTTGGCAGCAACCAAAGATGATCAGTTCTTCCATTGCAACATTTTATTCACAGCTTGGGCCAGCTAAAACAGCTTTTCACATTGCATCTGATCAACTAAACATAGCAACTATATTGATTGACCAACAACTATTACAACTTCAACTTCAGCAAATAGTTTCAACTCTCAACTAATCAACATTCTAATGAGGCTTCTATGGTATCTCATGACTGGCATTGGTTTTTTCTTTCCAATATTAGTCTTGTCTTTTTTATTTTTCAGGGAAAAAATTATAGTTAGGTCTATATGTTGCTTAATGCTAATATAGTAGATCTTGTGATAATGCCTTTTTGGTCAAGGCTATGCTTATGCTAATCATCAAGTTTTGTGAAATACCAAAGAGAAATACATTACACTTCTCTGTTCCCTTCTTTTGCGACAAGAATAATATTTGTTATACGTCAATATTTTGAATACTATAATTTTGGCAGCTGAAAATCTAGGCCACATTTCCCTTCTGTTGTGGGTTTTAAAATATCCTGTTTCTGAGATTTATTTGATTCTTGTGGTTTGCAGTCCAGGAGGAAACGTCCAAGGACCCCGACACCTGGACACTATCTTGGACTCAAGAGTACCAGGGGCGAGAGTAAGATGTCTTTTTTTAAATTCATGCAGCTTGAAAACACGGCCTGACCACTTTTGATCCGTTCGCTTCTCTGGCCAACTTTCAGTTGCTTATTGCCCATAAAGTGTTCATAAATGTGTCCAACTAAATCTATAAAAAATGGTTGTGGACCAAAAGTGGGTGTGACCAAAAGTGATATTTTTCCCATATCAGTGTTTATAAAATCAACACGCATCATTGATAAAATTCAACCATGTGGATTTGGTTTGGGTGTAGGTTATCGTGGTGGTGACCGTAGATGGAACCGTGGCTACAGTGACTATGGCTATCGAAGGTCACCGCCAAGACGTTCACCACCATACCGTGGGAGCAGGGATTATTCTCCCAGGCAGTTTTCACCACCACCACCATATCGAGTTGGGAGGGATTATTCCCCCAGGCGTTCACCATATGAGTCAAGGTCAAGAAGGGACCGGTCAAGGTCATATTCTCCTTATCAACGTCACAGTCCCGAAAGGAGCTATGCTCGTGGTGGTGGCAGATAAGACCTCTCTCCCCATTGGTATGCTCTCTTTGTTTGTTTGTTTGTGTGCGTGTTGTGAAATCGGAAGGTCTTTCCCTAGCTGAGGTAGTAGATGCTTAATATGTTACTCAATTCGCGTGTGATTTTATTAAATGTCAACCACTTGTACCCCGTAATATTGTGGGGATTATGTAGGGAGGAGAGTACCAATATCCACCTAGAATTTATGATGACTTGTTTCTTTTGATTAAGGGGAGTTTAGTCCCCAAACATAAACTTGGGTTGATGAATGCTTTATATCTGTTGTGTCATAATGCTCCTTCCAATTCTTTTTTTCTTATTTTTGATGTGTACGGAGCCACATCATGTTTCAAAATGAACGTGGCTTTGGCTTTGAAAAAACTTTTTCAATTAGCATTAGGGTTTTAGATAGTATTTTTTTTTGAGTAGATTATCTTTTTTTCAGTGCTATTAATTTTATTATAGTGTAGTATATATTCATATTTTTCTCAATCTAATGGAGCGATGACTATTTGAGTGGCTACGGAGGACATTGCCCCTCTACGTAAAATTGATAATTTTTGTCTCTAACCTCCCGGTAAATCTCCAATCCAGTCCCATCCCTAACACATCTCTCCAATCATGTCTATTGCATCTCGCAGGTTTAATTGATTTTGAAATAAATTTTTTTTACTTCAAAGTCATTATGGGAGATGGGTAGGGATCAATATTAAGAAGTACGGAGTATTAATTTTACGAACAAACACTGTATGTTTTCTAATTGGGAAAGTGTTATCCATGGTCACTCAAATAGTGTGGACATGGAACCTTCCCGCTATCTTGAAGAGTGCTTCTATGATGCTTTTGTAGTGCACATTTTTTTTGTATACCTTCTTGCACACCCTTTTTTCCTTTTTTATTTTTAAAAAGAAAACTTAGAAACGCTTCCTATCATTTATGTGTATGTGCACCAAACACACCGCCCCAAATAATTTTTCTATCTTGGAATTTCTCAAAGTGTAACAAGTTAATTTTGAATTTCTTTTGTGAAAAAATTATCTTTAATAATTCTAGTTTTTCATGGTCTTTTAAAAATAATCTTACTTTTACTATCACTGAAAATAGCCGCACTTTTTCACATGTGTGTTAGCTTTAGATCGTTGTTAAGAAGCTAACTGGTGTTTAACACAATTTTTGAAAATACATGTTTTTTGAAATTAAATGAACCGTTGGATTATTTTAGGTAAATTTATCGTTTTTTAATTTTAAATTTTAAATATATGATTTTAAAAATATGACAAGATGTTAGAAATTTGTTTCAATTTTTAATAAAATATAACGATTTACAAATTTTGTATTTTGTGCATGGGAAAATTCGATATTGGATTATCAAAAAATAATTCAGATTATCGCTTAAGAAACAAATTGCAATATAATAAAATTGCAGTGAGCTTATTTTGGGGAAAAAATTTATACTGAATAAGTTTTATAGTGCCATTTTAGAAAAAATTATTTTATAGAAAAAATTATTGTGTTACCATCACAAGTGTTGTAATGTCATTTTCGCAAAAACATTTATACACAATTATTGAAAAATAACTATTACCAGATTATCGATTAATGAATTAAATAATTAGTTTCATTTTAAAAACACTTAAATATATTATATTATTTATAAAAAAAATTTAAAAAGTACATTTAAATTTAAAGTTAGAAATTTTAAAAAAATGAAAAAAAGAATTTAACTAAAATAATTTCAGCTTTCATTTATTTGTGAAAAACAAGAATTTTCTAAAGATTTTGTTAAGTAAGTGTTAGCATGCTAACAGTGACCCAAAACTCAAGCCAAAGAAAAAAAGTATTTGCTGTGACAATGAAAACTGAAATTGGTTTTGGAATAATGCAAAAAAATGAGATTTTTGAGACAACTTTCTTTTTTTTCTTGTTGACACTTTGAAATTCTGTTGAAATGATGCGAGAGCAACCTTTTCTTGCCAAGTAAGTGCTCACCAAAGTAACAATGGCTGCTCAGCTAAAAAATCTCCCAACCTCGAACCCGCTCTATCTCTGCTACCCATCTCCATTTCCTCACAGGCTCTCTCGGCCTCAATTTCAATCTCCCAGGAACCCATTCATACCCATCTCTCTTTCTCGCTCCCTCCCAATCGAATCCCGTTCCCAAATCACAGGCCCGATACGGAGAGACGAGGACGGGCCGGTCCTCGGCGATTGCGTCGTCTTCGAAGAGGGCGCCTTCGACGATCCGTTCCTCCACCGTTCGATCTATGACCCGGCTAGCAGACGGAGGGACTCGGCGGAATTGGCGCCGGAGAATCTAGTTCCGGAGGACTGGGCGGATGTTCAGAGGGAGATTAATATCGCGAAGAAGAAGAAGAGGAAGGAGAAGCAGAGGGTCGAGCTGAGACCTATTGGGGGAGATGACAGGTCTAGGGCAAGGGCCGATCTGGAGGAATACTCCAGAGTTGTGAAGGAGAGTTTCAAGAGGCTAAATCCTGTTGTACTTGATGATCCAGTGTTTCCTGAAGCAGGAGATGAAGGAAACTGCGAGGAACGTGAGGATGGCTCAGGTTGGAGTGCTTCCAATGGCAGAGTGAAGCCGAAGAACCCTAGAGGAGCTATGAGTGTTGGTGATTTGGATGATATAAGAGAGTTCTTCAACAATGGGAGTTATGATTCTAGAGGCAGCACAAAATCTGGAGGTCCCTTTCTCTGTCCCTCTGTGTTTTCTTTGACTAGACATGTGTAAATCCTACTGTCTGTTAATTAAGCAAGAATCTATTGACATGCGTCTTGTTTGTCATAATATGATATAGTCATTTGAGGATTTTGAGGACCTTTAAGTTGCTCGGTTTCACCCCAAATTGGGTCCTATAAGGTAGAGTTTCACCAGTGTCAAAAGAACAATTCTGATGTCAATATTTGCTCTATCATATCCCTTCCTATGATTGTTTATTGCTTTTTTAGGAGTAATCTTAAAGTCATTTTGTTTTCCTTATATGCATATGAGATTTTCAAGCTTAATGGTTGCTGAAAGGTGTCCTTGTTTATTAGTATACTATTGTATCTTTGATTGTTTATATAAATAGAAATAAAAAATCTTGCATGGGATATTTTATCATTTTGGCACACAAACCAAGACGATGGATAAAATGACCTAATTACCCTTGGCACAGCATGTCTCCAACCCAATCCCCTGCCACCCCTGCCCATCCCCCCCTCCGTCGTCCGAACCTTATCCCCAAGCTGCCCAACTTTATCTTGTCATTGCGCAAACTACCTCAACACTGTCGAAATGATAATGTTGGGCAGCTTGGGGAAGTATTTTTTAAAGAGTATTCCGGGACAGAGGAAGCATTTTTCATTTAGCGAACTCTTTACTCAAATCAAATAATAGAACTTAATGCTCTATTATTTGTCTATTTGATTTGAATGTTGGCAGGCATGATGAATTCCATGGTTTCCATCCGGCATCAATGCGATGGAAGTGTAATGATCAATTAGGGAAGAAGTGTGATAGAAAATACGGAGTAGTAAATTGTAAATTTATCTTTAAGATGAATTAAAGATGTCTCTGCACAAGTTAAACACATGAAGCACTACCTTCGTCCCATAAAAATTTTGTGTTTGACTTTCACAGAAGTTAAGAAAAATGTTGAAAAGAGAAAATGTATGATTGAATTTTGTTAAGAGGAGAGACACTTTTTGAGCCACATATTTAATCCGTTAGAGAAATGCTAAAGTCACAAACACTTTGATCACAAAATACACAATCTAACCATTTATGTACCTCACCAAGTGAATTAAATAATGTTAAATAATTAAAAAGTGAATATTTAAATACACAAATGGCAAGGTTGTATATTTTGTGATCAAAGAGTTTGTGACTCTAGCACTTCTCAATTCCTTAAGAGAAAAAGTGGAGTTTTTTGGCAAGGCGAAAGAGGGAAGAGAGATTTTTTTGCGGGATGGAGGGAGTATCATTGCTTCTTGTAGAAGAGAAAAGTTTTTGACTTTGGATGGGATAGCAATCATCTTGGAAGGAAAGAAAAACAAGGAAACTAGTAAGAAGCCTAGCAGAAAATGTGGATATTGATTAGGGAAAATCAAGCGTGGCTGGTTACCAACTTGAATGATATGTGCTATTTAACTTTTTTTATTACATAGATTCATTTGACTATGAATAGACCTGCACTTAGGAACGAAACACAAGGAACACATGGAGATCTAGATTAGAGTAGTTGGATAGACCTTTAGGTTTTAGTTTGTAGTCTTTGCTGGAGTGGTGTGTTTTTACTTTTGTTTTTTTGTTTGTGCTTGTGTGTTGTTTATGCTTTGGGTCTAGTTGCTAGTGTTGGTATGTGTGCTTTTCTCTCAGTGCTCTTACATTGTTTGCGTTATTATGTTTATTTTGTTTGTGCTTCTATGTTTCACCCGGGGTCTCTTAGAAACACTTTCTCTACTTCTGACTAGGGTAATATCTTCTTACACGCACCCTTCCCGGACCCTACTTTTTGAGGATTTTATAGGTTTTGTTATTGTTGTTAGAGAAAAGATGATTAGCAGCTTTGTTGGGCCAAACACATCTTGTTGGAGAATGCCTTTGGAGCTCTTGGAAGGTTTCTATGATGCTCCTTTATCACTCTTTTATTTCTTTCCATCTGAGAAGTTTAATTTTTTTTTTTGTTGCAACTTCTTTACCCCCTATCAGAATGTCACGATAGTTAGTTCCGTTTTCCGCATTTTATGCATTGGCCAATTAGGGGAGAGAAATGTTGAGGCCCCAATGAAGAAATGTGAGAGACTTGTAATAGAGAGTGTGAGAAGGGGTAGGGGTAGACCTAAGAAGTTCTAGAAGTAGGCGATTAGACATGACTTATGACTTCGGGATCTAACCGAGTATATGACCTTAGATAGGAACACCTGAAGATCTAGGATAAGAGTAGTTTAGTAGGTTTAATTTTTACATTCTTCGTATCTCTTGGGTAAGATATCTGTATACACCCTCCCCAGAACTTACTTTTTGTAACCCAATATGGAATTCTCTTGAGAATTTAATACCACAAAATGTAGGAATTGCAAGTCAGAACTGGTTGGATCTGATTCTGTGGTGGGATTGATAGAAGTATGAATTTACCAATTTAGCTGCCATTTTGGTGAAGCAGTGGCCACTCTTGTTTCTTAGCCATCAGCTCTTCTATGTTCATATTTCTTACTTACATTTTCATCACCATCATCTTTTCTTCCTTGAAGCTTTTACAGAAATTTTTTTGGGCACTTTTTAAGAAAAACATCATTTAATAGAGTTGGGTAAACACTTGCAATTTGGTCAAATTTTTTTCCCAATTTTTTTGATATGGGATTCGGTTATGCTTCCCAATAGAGAAGTATTAATGATGATTTAGTAAAATGACCTTTGACTTTTGATTTTATGAAGTTGAATTGCAGGATGGGTTGACTGCAATTCACAAAGCATTTCTTGGGAAAAAGCATGCAATTTTCAACCTTATTCAGTTATTCTGCCTGAATTTGCAAATTAATTTGAATTAAGCTAGGGGTACACCAACATGGGGTACCCCTAGCATTGCCCAATTAATTTATGTCATAAAAGTAAGCTGGGTTGTGAGGATACTCTATGCTTGCCTGCTAGTTTTCATATTTTTAATACCAATAATGCTACCATAACACCACGTTTGACACCTAGATTTATTTATGCCACCAAACTATTTTTCGGACATGCAGTAACTGTTTACTATCTATGAAAAATTATTGTCTATGAGATACTAATAGTGTCAACCTTGGTGTTATTGTAGCATGATCCTTTATTGCACAAATTCATTTTGCAAAGCCTTGGGTTGCTAAGCCAAGTGTTTTGATGTTAACGAGTTTGTCACCAAGTCCTATTGGCAAACCTGTTTGCCATAACTAGTGCGGTGTTTTGACGTGTTCGTGAGACCGGGACAATAATAGATTCAAAATCCTTAAAGAGAGGCTTTTAGGTACTGGAATAAAGATTGTAAAAACCAGTGCATTTTATTTTAAGCTTTTATTTCTACGTTTTATTTTATTCCACATTTTATTTACAACTCACTCATACAAGTTCCACGGATTGGGCACAAATAAATCCAAGTGTAATTTTTTTTTCTAAACTGACTTATTCATTTCTTTTGACTCTCACTCTTCTTAATATGGTACTCTGAAAAAAATAATCCCTAATGAGAGTTAGAAGATTTTTTTTGCGAGCTGAATTTCCAATTTAACAATCTAAGAGATACTACGTCGTACTATTCATTGTCCAGTTCTTAGGTTTTTAAGTGAATGAATGATCAAAAGAGAAAGAAGGCAAATTGGATTGTCTTATTTTGTCAACTTTTAACTGGTCATTTTATAACATTTATATTTTTAAAAGTAAAACAGTGTTAAAAGAATGAAATCAGATTTATATATTTGAAACTTCTTTCTTAGTTTAACGATATATGCATCATGTTTGATTTAACTAAATTACATAAGAAGTGTCATTTACACCCTAGTTGCACATAAAAGAGTGTTTTAATTGTTTGTAACATCATTTGGCAAAATACTGATAAAATATAAGAAAATTTTTGTCGTAGATAAGTGCATGGTTAAATTGCATAATTGGTTCTTCAACTCAATTCGTTATGCATGGTTAGTCTTTTAAATTTCAAGAATTTTATAAATATTCCTTCAAGCCACACGAAGCGTTTCACTCTAGGTCCTTTCGTTACTATCATACGGTGCGTGAATAACATGAACCGATTCTCCTTGATTTTTGTTCTTTCTGCATAAATGCATGTGAAGGTTTTCTTGAATGACAAACACAAACACTTATTATCTGTGCCGCAGAGATAATAAATATTTGTGTTTATATGTAAATTGGGATTCCCCGGCATTCCCCTACGCAACATCATAATTATGATGACCAAAATTCCATTCGAGGTAAGAATGCATATATGAAGAAGAAAAAAGGATGAACGCTATCCTCGAGGGTCCTCTTAGACCCGATCAGATCATTACTGAAATTAGACTTAATTGAAGGTTGGTGGCAGGAAGTGGAGCCCACACTTAGTACTTGCAGAGGCTCTCTGCTTATCATAGTTGTCTCCTCACACAGTTGCCAGAAACCGAACTCGGATCTACCTGTTTGGCTCCCTACTTTTGTCATATCAACTACGCAACGTTCACCGGCATACATGTGAAGAAGAAGAGATGGGAGGGTGGGTAGGTTGGGGGATGGATGGATCTAATAATAGGTATAGGCTGTTTGGTTAGTTCTGCATTAAATTGCAATAATCATCACGAGCAAAATGCCATTTCTTTTCTTCATTTTTTTCTCCTTTTCAAAAAAGAAGAAGAAAAGAAACAGAGATAGCTGTTTGATTCCCTGCTGCTGTGGTGGCATAGCTGGTTAGTTTTGCAATAAATATCATGGGGGCTATCACTTTAATGATATGCTATTTCTATGTTCTTTTTTTTTTTCAAAAAAAAAACTTCATTTTCTATGGAATCCATAAAAGATACCTATAAGAAATTAAAGACATAAATTGAATTATGTGTCAATCTAACAAATAAATAGTGAAGTGTTGCTTTCTTATTTGTAGAGATCTCATGTTTTACGAATCGAATTTCGATTTACCTATAATGTCTGGTACAAGATAGTTGAGCTGCATTCACCAACATATGACGTTTTTATAAATTTAATTTACTACTTCCATTTCAATATTAAAGACACAATTCAGTTTGTGATGGTTGGTGGAATTTGTTTTCAATTTAATTTTATTTAAATTTTGTGTAGAAATAAATTTTTTTTTATGTATTTAAGAATTGCGTACATAAAAAATTTTCACAAAACAAAATTATTTGGCCGGTCAAATTATTTATAACAATATATACTTGTATAAGAAAATATATTTCATATACTCCGTAATTTTACTTTTTGAATAGTAACTATGGCATTATTTAGGACTAACGTTAGCGTTTAGGATAAAATTTTAATAGTGTAGATTAATTTTAAAAAACACTAAGGTTAAAAGTTACCATCAGAGAGTCATTTCAAAATATTAACGCCAATCTCTAACGCTGATGTCAAATGAGATCTATATTTTTATTCAAAGGGAAGAAATATGTGAGTGGGAAGGAGAGATAAAATATGACAAGAGTAATAAATCAAAGATGGAGAGATTCCTTTCTTTAATTTATTTAAGCTCATTTAACCAAACAAATAAAAGCGCATTTATTGTTTGGCCTTACTGCGGTGTGGTATTGGCCAGTAGGACATCATGGTATGTATGGATACAAACTCTTGGAACAAAAAATAAAATGAAATTTATTGTTGTGACTGCATTTAAAAAAATACTCGTAATACATTAAGATCAAGTCACATGTAATTTAGAACAATGTTGGTAAATTAACTGAATAAACATTCAATTTAATGTGCGTGATCAATTAGAATAATTTCCTAAAAATTTCTTATCTACACTATTATAAGCAACAATGGTTACAAAATGGTTCAATTGTTCTACGATACTAGAATACTTTAATGCGAGTTATATCAAGACAAAGGGGATAAAAAGACATAGAAAAATAATTAATACTTCGTAATAAACAAATACATTATTTCTTTATTATTCTTGATAATCAATGAAATGATTATTCAATTTAAACCATTCTTGTATATACTACTATTAATCATTGTTTCATCATCATAAAACAAACACTAAAGAACAAACAAATTTTTTCTTATTATTCTAGATAATCAATCAAATTATAATTAATAATATACTCCCTCCGTCCCATAAAACATTTCCTGTTTCAAAAATGGCACGCCTTTAAAATGAGTAATTTTAGTATTATTTTTTAAATATGACTAATCTATTCTACACATCTCATTCTACTCTTTTATAAAGTAAGGGCAAAATTAGAAAATAACACCAAAATTACTCATTTTAAAGGCGTGCCATTTTTGAAACAGGAAATGTTTTATGGGACGGAGGGAATATTATTTTTCTAATATTTTTCCCATTCTAAATTGTGTCATAAGCCGTGGTTGTTTGTAATAGGGTAGATAAGAAACTTTTAACAAAATAATCACATTGATCAAGCACCTTGAAGGTATCCGGTTAACTTTATAAAACTTGTTCCGATCAACATGTAGTTTGATCCCCTTTATTGGTGTACCTAGAGAACTTATAATGTGTAATATAGTTTTCTATATGCAGTCATAATAATAAAATTATTTTTATTATTCCAACAGAAATAACCTTATAAACATCATGCCTCACCTAATCAAATTTTGGGTATGGATCATTGTGATTTTTATAATATATAAAAAATAGAATGAATATAAATATAATGTATATATTTTCATATGGAAAAAAAAACATTTTTTGAAACGTCGGAAGAAAATTTAGTAAATTAATTTTTTTAGGTAGAACAGAAAAGTGTACAACAATATCAGACTCCACATGGAATGGGGGCATGCATTGTAATTGTAATTAAGGGATCTGAGAATTCACACTTAATTAATTACATTTAATTTTAATTAATTTTGTTGTCTTAGCTACACATGCACACCTCCCTACCTATATTATACGTTACTATAGTTATTGTTTATTATTAAGTCCATGGAGAAATTGAATACGGTTAATTATAAGTTTTGTATATATTTTTTTTCTCCAAAATTTTCCAAGTATATACAGAATACTCTATATTATTATTTTCTATTAAAAAATTATTTTCATTTTTTGGACTTCGATTCAATAATTCATTCATTGGTTAGCACCCCAAATATTAAAATTCACACTCAAATCAAATGACATTATTCTCTCCCACACCAGTCAACAATGTTTTATCATCTTCTCCAATATTTATTTTGTATGTTTCAATTAAATCAGTTGCTTCAATTAAATCTCAGTTGTATTTTTTACCGCACGGTTACATCTCTTCTGTAAAGTACGAGAACAAAACTGGCATATTAATTAATCAGCCTTCCGACGACAAATAATTTTTGCAAAAAAAGGTTTAATTTGTTCGGTTTCGGTCATCCTTAAGTTCGGATCCTGTTCATTAAGATTAATGTCTTTTAAAGTTTGAAATGAACATAATTGATTTTGGATCATTTGACTCGGATTCATACATTTCTTACTATATCATTTATCTATTCTACATCAGTGCCACATCAGATTCTACTAATAATTTCGTACTTTTTCTTATAAGTTGGAGTACGTCTACATAGGCCACCAATTCACCAATTTACTGTAACCATTTTTTAAAATAGATAAATTAATAATAAAAATTAATTTTTAAACATACAAATCAATATTATTTTTGTAAAAAATAGAAAGTAGAGTAAAATTACCATTTGATTTTTGAAACAAAAATACAACAATGAAACCAAAATAAAAAATATACGAAGTAACCATATTCAAAATCTCATTTTGATATTTTTAAATGAAACGCTTACACGTAAACCAGTTAAAATTTCATTTTTGTAGAAATAAATTGTGTGATCTGATTGATGTATAGTTTTTCACTCATATATCTCATCAACACTGAATTTTATTTTTTTTTTTAAAACTTTGTCAAGGCAAAGTTATAATATAACTACACAAGGGAGGGAGTTAATTACATAATGAGGGTAGATGGGGAAAAGAAAGAATACTCTAAAAAGGAAATAAATGCAATGGGTCATAAATGCATATAACAATACACACACACACTCCTATCATCCTTAAATGCCCCTTACACTTTAAACCTCCCCTCCCACAATCTCTTCTTCTTCTTCTTCTTTCTTCTTCTTCTTCTTCCCACTTCTCATCTGCATTATTGTATATATGAAACAGAAACTATGATATTGGCCAGGTTCACTCAGAGGCTTTAATGTATTACTATTATTATTTTTGTTATTATCATTATCATTATTATCATTATTATGTTTTTTATTTTATAGGATTTTTAAATTAATATATAAATGATTTTTTAATCTTTGCTAGCTTATGAGTTTATATTTATATATGTACTATATATATATATATATAGTAATTAACATAAAAACGGAATATTATGATAATGCAGCTTTGATTGAGCCGTGCCAATATCTCAGTTCTTTTTCATCTCATTTGATCTCTTAGCTTATTAGCTTCCATTTGGTATGGTGATATATATATATATGATGATCCGCCACTAAAGGTTTGATCTGATCTGTGCATACCTTTCTTAGTTTGCGATTTTAGGGTTTTGTGTGTGTGTGTGTTTGTTTGTGTGTGTATCTGATGCATCGTGCGGCTCAGATTGCATTCTGCACTCAAATTTTGAGATATGGCATTTTCAAAGGATTTTGGTGCATTTTGACGTGATGCATTTTCAAACTATTTTGGTGCACCTAAATTTGATGCAATCCTGACCCTTAGATCTCACAATCTAAAGCACCAGATTCATTCTTATTTCTTTCATAAGATCGCATTCTCAATAGAACCAATATATATATATATATATATATATATATATATATATATATATATATATATATATATATATATATATCCACAAAGCTTGCTAGGGTTTGATTTTAGTTTGGGGTTCATGGGTTTTAATTAATTGATAGAAGGACAGAGATAAATTTTGATTTATACATGGGGGTTAAAAAAATTCCCCTTAAGGAGAGAATTTTGTACGGAGTTTTTTACAACCATATTAAGTTCCATTGCCTTTTTTTGTATTAAAAAACAATCGAATTTTCTGCTGGTTACACTAATATGTTGAAACTGTTATTAATCACAAAATACTCTTGTCCCAAACCTTTCTTTTAGGTTGACTTTTTTTTGTCAAACTTTACATATTTTGACCATAATTTTTTAAAAAATATATAAGGACACGTTTGGTGAGTGTTGAAGATATGATATGCATTTTGATATTTTTGATAAATGACATGTGTTGAAATACGAAATAAAGTTGTTTGTAGAAATTTTAAATCATAATATGTTTTGTGATTAACGCGAGTTGCACGGGGTGGTTGACGGTAGCCAATGGCGTGAGATGGTCGATACCAAATCTACACATTGATATCTTCCGAATTCGAGGGATATTAAAACACTCTATTTGGAGGATATGTGATATTAGAGATATTTAATTTGAATTTTTTTATGACTCGCCAAGCACCAAAAATAAATCTAAAATAGAGAGATATAGAAACATGTTATTGAATTTTTAACCAAATAAATCATTCATACATCGCAAACTCAATCCAGAGTTTTGGTTTCGAGATCCCCCATAACACTTTTTCGATTAATTTTTGAATGAACTAAAAATTAAGGTATATTTTATAATTGGTCTTTTATAACAATTTTTTTAATTTTTTGTTATATGGGTTTTTAATTGAGAGCTAAATGTATAATTTTACCATAATCATATTTTTTTGTCATAGCCAATATCAGAAGTCACTCCTGATATGTCAATTGTCAAACGAAGTCGTTGCCTACTCTAACTATTGAATATAGATGTTGCTTCTAATCAAAATTTTAGCATACAATGATAGTGATATAAATGAATATGTTTGAATGTAAATATATTGTAAAAGTTAAAAGGTAGGCCAAATGAGCCTTGTATACATTGCAAAACTCTATATGTTTTGATCTTGGCTTGTAGGGAATCATGTTTTTCGATAAATTTTTCAATTAAATTGTTTTATTTATTTTATTATGAACAGCCAATTACAGATAAGTGCTCTGTAAACGGGTAACAAGCTATGCCGCAACCTTCATTTTGGATTGCAAAATGACCCTACTATAGACATAGTTATGAATTTTAGGGGTGGAAAAAATACTATGCACGATTTGTTGTACCCTGTTCAGAAATTGCACAGCATATGCACTAAGGAACCAAAATTATCAAAAGTAAAGGGGACAAATTTCATTCACATAAGTTTTTGGGAAAACAAAAGTATGAGTAAAACATTGAAAATATATCAAAATAAGACTTTCATGTTTTTGTTTCCAAAATATGAGTCAAAATGCATTTATATTACCAAACATGACCATGTGCATTACCAAAGAGTATAGTAATGTACACATGTATAGTGCTTCATTACCACAATGCAAAGTCCTACTTCGAGAATAAAAATATGAAAGTCTTATTTTGATACTTTTTTCTATGTTTTAGTTCTATTTAGGTGATTTCTATAAATAAAAAAAATTGTGTTTAGCGGCTTTGCTTGATTTCACCTTCACTGATGTCCGATTATGCTACAAATTCATTGTCCGAGAGCCCAACAAGAGGGGACACTCTTGTTAGATCCACTCAAATGTGTTCCCCTGACCCACCCAAACACAATCAGACCAAAACTTGATGAAATTTTGCATGAATGATCTCTTTTGCATGTAAAAAAAGTGGCAAATTTATTACTCCGTATTATTATTACAACATCAGATGACTCATATATTAATATTATTCATTATTATTTATTACTATTATTATCATTAGTATTTTTGAATTTTTTAAAAGTAAGCACAGTTCTTCATTCCACCAACAATCAAGTAAATTTTGCCACAAGTTTCAACTTTGCGTTTTAAAAGGAGTAAATTTTAAGCGGCTCAATGACCCGTCCGTATTTTGCAGGCCTAAATTTTTTTGTTTTGGTTTCGAGCTCCAATGGGTACCGTCACGTTTTTTCGATGAATTCTGTAGACGGGCTGAAATTTTAGTTGTTTTATCAGTATTATAGTAACTATTCCGTATGTCTGAGAATTGAACTCAACAGCAATATGCGTTAAATTTTATTCAGAAATAAATTCAAAATTCTTGTAAATGAAACACAATGTTTAGGTTCATGAACCTTTTGTTAACATTCACAAACATGTTCGATAAAGAAACAAAAAAACTCAAAAAAAAAAAGAAGATATATGAACCCAATTAAAAAAATACTATGAACATCTTAAGATAGGTAAACCAGTACAATGTCATTACAGTTTTGCTGTTAGTTTCTTGATCAAATTCTTCAAATGCCATTAAAAAAAAGACTAGTTTTAACTTTTAAGACACATTGATATGCAGGGTTGTTGGTTCCTGAAATAGAGCTTCCAATATTTAGTAAATGAATATGCAGAAACTTGTATGATTTTTTGCTGTGCACCAAGATAGATATACAATGTGGAACCCCTACCAACAGCACATGAAATAGAACAGAAGTCAAAACCCTATACTTACTTGGATGTTTTTGTCACGTCGATGTTGCTGTTGATTCCCAACACTGCTTGCTTACAGAGGTTTCTCTCATTAATTGGAAGGACGAAAAACGAAGCACCCCCACCTATTGCCCACTTGGTGTATAGTGAGGTACGAACCGAGTCGCGTGTTTGAGGATTAAGTCTTTGCAATCAATCGCATAACTCTTTGGACAGTTTGTTTTGTTTTGTAGCAGTGTGCGCTTCTCTTGCTTTATGACTCTGCACTCAAAAATAGAAACAGAGATGTTTTCAATAGACCCCCAGTTTGAACACAAATGCACAGATAGAGTCATAGCACAATGATAAGAAGCACAAATACTGACACAACTCAATCCTACATCTCCAAATATTTTTTATGTAAGGTCATATACTCAATAAGATTCTGTGATTTTTTTGGTTGAAATTGACTTCTATGAAGCAATTATTTGCAGTGTGGTTCAGTACGGGGTATATGAAAAGTTTTATACCCAAGAATTAGAATACGTGAACCACGGAGAACAAATTCTTCCATCTTCACCTTAGGTTTTGTTTATTCAACATTTCCTTTTGTATACCAAAAGTGTACACCAAGGGAAAAATTCATATAAACAACCTATTTGTGTCTATATATATGTCTATACAAAGACGATTTTGCATGTGAATTTTGCCTTCGGTGTCCAATTCGGTACACACTCTGAGCTATTTTTCATTCCTCATTTACTCTTCTAGAAACTTAATTTCTCACATATTCTAATCGAAAAAATTACTGAATTTGAACTCTTTTCAAGTCCCCATATATTCTCCCAAGGAATTTAATTTTTACCCCTCTACTCCTTTTTAATACCAAACAAGCCCGTAGTTTTTTCCCCTGTTTTTGAACATTTAATATTACAGAGTATCTACTATATTTTCCATCCACAAAACAAAATCTTATTTCAAAGCTTATTTTGTTCAAAAAAGAACTTAATTTTAATCATATTTAATATCTTTGTCAACTAATTGACTGTGTTAAATTTAATTAAACCAACAAACAAATTTTAAATGTTGGTTTGTTTTCATAATTTCTAGCAGTGCTAAAGCCTAAAATTATGAGGTTGTACATTTGTGAAATTGACTCTTTTTATGGTACGGATGGACTACATTGGTCATTGAACACTTGTTTTTCAACAAATAAAGAAAGAATGAAAGAAAGAAAGAATGAAAGAAAGAAAAGATAAACTTTTTCAAGGAGACCTATTTACATCAACCAAACAGAGCCTCCCACAAGACATATCACACTTGTTATCATGGATACTAGAGTGATATAGTAAACCTATCTGGTGCAAGAAGCACGAGTGTAGTAGAAAACAGCACAAACCTGCATAGGCTGAACGAGGATGATGCAACTGTCATTTTCCACTGGCGTGTGAGTTTTTTATGCGGAACTGAAACATCTCTTTCTTAGGCAACCTCTCAGCCGGCTCTAAAGGACATAATGCTGAAATGGGAGGCAAATATCGTCGTTTCTCACCATGCTCTTTATCACTTGTCATGGGTTTCAACTCAAAGGCACCCCTTGTAAAACCTTTGGCAACCTGGACAATACAACCTAAAGTGACGATTAAGTTGCAACAGTATATAGAAATCTTCACTTATTTTCCTTACAAATTCTTGTAATCTTTTACTTTTGTTTCATACTCCCTTTATTCCTAAAAAAGATTGTGTTTGATTAAGATGAACTTTTTAACTTTTATAATACAGCAGAGCTATTAAAAGTCATGAATCCTTTTGCATTATTTTAAATTTATTTTTTATTTATACTATATTTTCCATATTTAGTCTATAACTATATTTGCCAGTGTTTTAAGATTTGGTCCGGTCTAAATCCTTCTGTCCTAGTTTGATCTGGTTTGAATGTTTCTAATCTTATCTATTTTTCCAGTCTAAAATATAACACCTGATCTGGCCTGATAGTTTCTGGTCAAGTCTGGTGTTATCTGAATACCTGAATAGGAATAGACAAACCCAGTATGCTCTCCGTTGGGGTCTGGGTCAAGATGTATGCAACTTTACTCGGGTACAACAACATTACCCGTGTCTCAAATGTTCTCGCCCATTATGGGATAAAGGGGGTCGGATGTACGCAGTCTGACTCCTATGTTTGAAACATGGAGCCGCTGTTTCCAGATGACCCAGGATGAGCATCGAACGATGCATTGGCAAACAACTACTTCACTATAAAAGAAGTGCAAACAGTTTAAAGGCTCATTTTGCTTTATTCCATCATACCCAAAAACCAAAAAATAGTTAATCTTTGGCTCCATCAGAGATGATGGAAAGAAAGCAGAAAATTTGTTTCCTTGAGATTGAAGATGCATTGCTACATTTACTACCCATAACTTCATAGAAAGAAGCAAGGTGAACAGATCAACCCCTAAGCTACAAATACCTTCTGTCTGCACTCGTGCATGCATGAATAGGAGATACATGAGATGGGATGCATTGAGAGTTACGTCACTTACGTGTATACAGTTAGATCATGCATTCAGAGCAATAACAGCCACCAGATATCCATAAAATTACTGAGCTTAAAAAGTCCAAAATTGTAAAGTTTATCACACATACCTTCGGTACAACCCAAACTTTGAGAGAGCTACTCAATATATCTAACTTTGTCTTCCTTCCTTGAGTCAAATAGTTATACATGTACTGATCAACCATGAGAATAAATCTGGGCCACGAAACGGGATCTTCAGGGTTTGCTTTCTCATTCATCCTTGACTGATCAAGTATCATGAAAAGAAATTGAATGGAAAATGAAAATTTTGGTAAACCCAAATTTTTGAGATACCCAAAAAATGATAACCTAAACCTCCCGGCAGAGTACTTAACATCAAAGCTCTATATTAATATTAGCCCTTGAGAACTTGTCCCTCCGCTCTCAAATATCTTCACATTACCTAAATGAATAGTGTTTAATAAATAAATGTGCATTATGAATTTTGGATGGATGTGATCCTGGGTTCTTCGAGTTTGAACTTAGGTTCATCTCATTTTAGAAGTGTCTTAATTAAAAAAAGCCTAGGTTTTTGGAGAAACTAGGTTCACCTCAGAGAACCTCCAAGAATCCATTTTTGGATAACCTCAGAACTGTTAGGGGGGTTAAAGGCCAGGAGGGGTTTAGAGGTTGAGTTCTCATAAAAAAATGGAAAACTCCACCATAACAACATTTTTAAAATTAACCTAGGTTAAGTAAATAATTATCCAAACAGCATTTTGTTCAGGCACCTGGGTTTGCCTAGACTCACAAAGTCTACCTAGGTTGTCCTAATGTCCTTTCAAACTATTTAACTTTTGCTTGTCACTTGTAATACCACGACAAACCCAGTGTAACCCTAACTCCATTGGGGTCTTGGGATCAAGATGTATGGCATTGTATCCCTGTAAAAAAACAAAAAACCGTTTCCAATAGACCCCTGATGCATTCATGCACTTAACCATTTACTGTGCAAAACTTCACAGAAAGTAAGAAGCGGCTTCATAGATAGTAAGAAGCCTTTGTCGCACAGCGCACTGCTGAGAACAGACCCACACTTCAACAGGTTCCACACAACAACTGCTTGGTTGGTAATTTCAAAAAACAGCTCCCATTGATATGATCAATACCCGAGAACAATCACTTTGTGGTTGCGGTCTTCTTCAAGACAAACAAGAAATGGCCAAGAACATTTTCAATTACGTTCTTTTATAGAGTAGTTATAATAATTAACTGCTTTTAATATTACAATTGTCACTGTTATTATATTGCAATGAGGATATTTTGCTATTTGTGCATTTCAAGGTTTTGAAGTGCCATGAATTTATTACCATATTTATATATAAAAAAAAGCTTAGATTCCATTATTTACTGAGGCTAAAACATAGTAAAATGACTCCTTTAGCTCCATTTGCAATGAATGCATTTTTTAAATGTTATAGAAGGTTGTCAGTTTATGGGAAAAAAATTATTATCACTTTAAAAATAACAAACATTCCTTGATAATTATTTGAGGAATGAGTAAATACAAGACTTAGCCAGTTACTCCGTATAAATAGAGTATAAACTGTATTAGAGAAAAACTTACCAGAAAACGAGAAATTCCACGCTCAATTTTGGAAAATGCAGTCTGCAAAGCTACCACCCTCCCAGTGCCATAACAACAACTGCAGGGTTCACTGATCATAAATGGCACACTTGGTCGAACCTGTCAAAACAATAGCGTTAACAAACTGTGCCAATGGCATATCTAGTTTTTGTATCAGGTTAAATGTACCACCAAATGTGCTGTGTGGAATTTTGTGGTGCCAAGTTTGACAGTTTTTTAAAATCAAATGGATTACATACTCTTTTCCTTGTAATTTCCATAAGTCCATGCGTGGATAACTCAGACACATTGACAGTTGATCTATCCCTTTCAACAGCCTTCTTCATTTCTTCGTAGACCAACCTTTTATTTGCTAAAGCAAAAGAAGAGTTTAAACCTCAAAGATTAAAAAAAAATTGAAGTATAATGTAAAAAAAAAGACATGGTAGATGTAAACATCATCTTATGGTAATGAATGGCTCTATATTCCTTGGCATTCAACCTCCTCTTAAGGTGAAATAGAGGAAAGAATTTGTTGCATGGTGAGGAGAAATGGGGGGTGCGGTGGGGGTGGGAATGAAAACCATTTTCATTTCCCTCTTGAAGAGAAATAAGAAATAAATATGTTCCTTCTTATTTTCTATACCATGTCACTCCAACCAAACAACGCAAAATCTACCCTATATCTCTCTTCTCAAATTAGGGAAGCAGCATGCCAACTTAATGCTACAACCATGCAGTACAAGTAATATACTTACAATAATCCACCATATCTATGAAGTCCACAACAATAAGACCACCAATATCTCTCAGCCTCAATTCCCTAGCAATCTGCAAATTCATGAATCGTTTATGTATACTGCTACAGTTTTATTTATTCTCAAACCAGAATTACAATAGACGATTGCCTAACTCATTTAGTAGCTCTTAAAAGATATAGTGCAAAAGCATAAAAGCACTATAAAGAAACTTGAACTTGTGCTTTGCATACTTGTCTCGCTGCTGCAAGGTTGACTTCAAGAATTGCTTGCTCTTGGGATGTCCCATTCCCAATCATACACTGACCACCATTAACATCGATAGAGAATAACGCCTCTGTTTGTTCTATAACCAGATAACCTCCATTAGAAAGGGGAACCCTGCAAAACTTATTATCACAATTAGGCTCGCATATAAAATAATATGCCAACCTAGTTGCACGGTAAAAGATGCCAAGAAACCACTGGCCTTTTGGAGCACAGACTAAAATGAATATACTCAGTAATATAGCTAAAGAATATGAAAGTAAGGTCACTTCTAACAGTCTCTTGTCTGGAGTCAGCCATGTCATGTTGAGTAATTATAATTTTTCTGTTTAGTCTCAATTGCCTCAATTCAACTTTTTTTTATTCACATCTTTTCTACAATTAATTTTTACAGTATAATAGTCGAATTGAGTTTATGCAGTAGGCTCGATGATAAGGCCACTGCATGCCACTTTTAATGCGCATAGTAGGCTCGATGTACTCGTATTTAAAGGTGTCTTATTCACCAATCAACACTTTTGTAGCATCAAAATTATAGCATATACTTCATACAATACACTCTTCTTTTCAGTGAAGAATACCTCTCACCTAAATGTGATACAACATAACATAAATATCTCTCACCTGTTAATAAGAATGTTATCTATTTCTCCCTCAATCTCATATTTATCAAAGAGTGGAGCTTCGTTGATGTATAATTCAACTCTGTCACAAAGATTAGGAGCTATTTCTTGAAGATAATTTTTAACCTGAAAACAACATGACAAAGTCAATAAAGATTCGAGCTTGTTGTTCAACCAAGCTATATAGGTTTTAACCTAGAGTTAGATAGGTTCAACCACTTAGCCTCAAACTTTTAAAGGCATGCTAGAAGCCTATAATTGCTGGAATTGGCTTATTATTGATGGGATTACTGAAGGACTATGTACACTTTTTTTCATAAGGTGAGTGTAAGGTGCGTATGTGTGTTCTTCAATGTATGTAGTAATTATCTTCTAAATCGGCAATGAATCTAGACAAATAAGCAAAATCTAGAACATTGATTACTTAATTAACTGCTACCTCATGATATATCTTTCGAGAATCAACCACCATGCTCTTAACCTGATTATTTTGGCAAATTAAGCGAATCATGAAAATTGTCAGACATAAATACTTAAATGTGATATCTTCAATTACAAAGCAACAAGAGCTAAGAGGGATTGCATGAGAATATCACACCTTGTCATTAAAATAATCCTGGACAATAGATAGTGTTTGACTCATGGCCTGGTGAAGCATAACCGGAACTGCTCCATCTAATCCTTCATCGGCAGCAAGAGCAGAAGACTTTGCATGCTCCCTTATGCTTTTCCAAGTTGAGACCAAACCTTCCAGATCCTTCTTTAATTCATCTGATGAATGACCCGCAGCAACAGTTCTTAGAGTAATGCCAAAACCTGGAGGCTGTAAGGTCTCTGCTATTCCCCTCAGACGAGTGCGCTCAGGACCACATATTTTCTTTGAAATCCCTATTGTGTTGCTGCTAGCACGTAAAACCTGAAGTCCCGAAGATAAAAAAAACTTCAGTAAACAAATATTTCCAACTATTAGACATATAAAAGATGAATTCCATACCCAAAACCTGCTTCGTAATCGTGGATATGGAGTGACTGAGGGGCCCTTTCTACCTAGTCCTTCTTTAGTAACTTGTACAATTATTTTTGTACCTTTCTGAACCTGCGCCCACATTCTTTTACTAATATCATGATTATGATTTTTCTTAAGATGGTGTCTCTGAATACCATGACCATCACTTTCCGTACCATTTCCTCTAAAGTCTACATTTTTATCAGTATCATGATTTTCATGCTGATCAAAATTATCTTGTAAATATTCGGCAGGGTCATCATCTATGTCATCATCCTCTATAACTTCATCTAAAGTAGCTCCAGTTTCAAGATCTGAATTTTCTCCAAACTTGACAGACTCATGGGCAATGGTTTCTCGGCCCCTATCATCAGAAAATGGAGGAAATATGAATGGCTCCTTATGAATATTTATGTTCATAAATGCAGATTGGTGGTTGCCAATATTTACAAATGCACCACCCATCTGGGGGGTTAAGCAGGTAACTACGCCTAGATACACACTATCACATTGCACATTGTTTTTTACAGGCTCCAACAACAATTCTACTAATCTCCCATTTTCTAAAACAGCAATCCTTTGCATTGTGCAAACAGATGAGTTTATCAATATAACTGTGTTAACTGAGTTATCCCCGGTAATTACAGTGTTCTCAAGAGGTAATTGCTTCTCATATTCTTGAAAATGCTCTTTTCCTTTTGTGTGGTAAGCTTTCTCACTTCTAAAATGTTCATCACAAGTAGACACACCGGTGGTCATTTTGACATTAGAAATGGAATAATCAATCATTGGTTCAGCCAGACAGGGCTCCTCAACAGGATATCCTGATTCAAAGGAGACTACTGGACTGTCACTGTTCTTATATGTTGTAGCAACTTCAACCCGACACTCATTCTCTTTTCCTGTTGTGTCCGCACTTCTAGAATGTTCTTCACAAGTAGACACATCAGAGGCCATTTTGACATTAGAAATGGAATAACCGATCATTGATTCGGCCAGCCAGGGCTCCTCAACAGGATAACGTGATTCTACAGAGGCTACTGGAACCGTTGTGTGGCGATTTTCCGCACTTCTAGTCTGTTCTTCACAAGCAGACACATCAAGGGTCATGTTGACATTAGAAAAAGAATAACCGATCGTTGATTCAGCCAGCCAGGGCTCCTCAACAGGAAAACCTGATTCAAAAGAGGCTACCGGAATTTCACTCTTCTTGTCTGTTGTAGCAACTTCAACCCGATATTCGATTCCAGATTCCCCTGCATCAGCGGTGGAAAGCTGTGTACCGAAACCATCACCACCATCTGATTCTGAAAATTGATTAGAAACCAAAGGCGGCTGCAATAGCCACGGCTCCTCAACAAAACTGAAACACTTCACGCCCTTGTGTCCAACTGCCAAATTACTGGAAGTGATTTAGTGCTGAAAGAGTAAACATTTTGGAAGATGTGAATATGCGCACAGCAGCAGAAGTAATACCTTTAGCTGGGCATGGAATGAAGAGATGCACGGGAACAAATCTCCCAATCACCCAGGACTTAAGCAAACCACTGAAAGGCCTCCTAGAATATCCACTCCACGCATCTCTTCTATAAGATCTACCTTGTTGTTTAGAATGAAAATTCCCTAAGATGGAGAAATCTGGGCCAGATTTCCATAAGGCATCACTCGATGCCAACATATCTACAATCATAATAGAGCCAAACCTAAAATACAACAGAGCAATTGTTTTAATCTCCAGACGATAAGAACTTACTGAAGATTAAAGTGACGCAATTGATACTCCTAGCGAAGTCTCATTTCCACACAAAACAAATGCAATACCTAAAGAGCTATATGGAGCATGGAGACGCTGAGAACCTGTGGAGAAATCGAGCGTCTGGCGGCGGGACACTACAGCCGGCGTACGGCTGACTGGATAATTGGGAGAAAGGCGTCCAGATACGCCAGAAGACGGCGGACTATGGATGGGACTCGGTGGCGCTAGCTGTAAGAAGAGAAATGTGAGGGGTTTGTTCGAGTTTCCGGCAATGGTTTTTTTCCCCGCCACGGGGTAGATAAGAACGACGGAGGATAGCGGAGGAAATCGAAGCTCCACGCGATCAGCGATTGTGTGAACAGTAAACGAGTCAAATTTCGCAAAAAAAATTGATGAATCAAAATCTCAAATCATTCTTTGTTCTCTAAACAAATTTTTTACCCACATTTTTTAGAACTTTGTAAATTAAATGAGTATGTTTATTTGGAGACGAAGTATTTTACGTGTATTCAATCCAGATTTTTAAAGATTCTCACAAATTATTTTGAATTCATAGATTCTGTAATAAAAATCAATGGATTATTTAAAATTTATGCAGAGTTAGATTAATTTTAATGTATTTTGTTAGCAAGATTTTGTAAGATCGTGATAGATTGTTTATTATCAATGGATTATTTATATATACATTTGAGTTATTTTAAAAATATATACATTGTACTAACATTGATTATTACTTATGATATTGAACAAAATTTCTAAAAATAACATTATAAAATAAATTAGTTTTAAAACATTATTATTATTATTATGATTATTATTATAAAGCTCAACACTAACATAAAATTAACAAAAATTTATGAAACAGGATGAAGCTCAAAAGACCATTAACTCAAGTGACCATTAACACATGAGATCACAAAATCCGATAAAAAACGGATTCGGAAAATGAAAAATAAGACGCAAGAATTGGGATTTCGCATGCATCTTCAAAAATATAGAGCTAATTGAATGAAGATCTGTAGAGCAGTGTTTCGTGTTCTTTAAGGGTATGTTTGAATTGAGCTAGGTAAAGTTTTATTAGGTAGGTAATAGTAAATAATTGAAGATAGGTAAAGTAAGCCAATGAGTTGATAAGTTGTGTTTGGATATTTGTTAGGTATGTGAGATAGGAAAAAAAATAAAATTAATGAAATACCCTTATCCTTGTTTTTCTTTATTTGTTTAATATTTTGAAAATTATTTATAAGATTAATATAATAAATTATTTTTGCATCAATTTCAAATATTCTATTTATTTAATTTATTTAAAAAAAAATTAATTTTAAATGTAAAATTTCGAAACTAAATTAATACTTTAAGACGGAAGTAGTAACATGTCATTTTATATAGATAAACTAATCAAAATTTAGAAGTCATATATTCTATAGCCAAAAAAACAATACAAAAAATCAAAATAAATAGCCAAAAAAATAGCATTAAACCAAAATAAAACAATCACTACCTCAACAAACATGAAAAAAAAGAAAAAAAAACATTAGAAAAAACACGATAAAAAAAACAGAAAGAAAAATGAAAAGAAAGGAGAAGCATAAGCAAAAACAAATAAATGAAAAATATGGAAGAAAAACAGCAAAAAACGAAGCACACAAAAGAAAGCGGAAGAAAGAGAAAAAACTAAATAAAATAAATCAGGGAAAAAACCTGCATCTGAAGAACTACGTCCGAAGAGGAGAATCGAAGGCTTGAGATTGGAGGAGGAAGAAGAAGAAGAATATGGAGTGATGGATTGAGGGAGATGAAAGTCGGAGAAGATGAATTGAAAATTTGAAACAGCAATTCATGCGGAAGAAAAGAATAGGCGAGTCATCAAAATCCCAGGCCTTTTGATTGGATTTAGAACTTCGATTTGTATTTATACCCAAGGCATAAGAATTCATCAAAATCCACTTTTTTAAAAATCTTTAAAAATTTATCAATTTTTGAATACTATGATATTTAGGAAGATTTTTTAATGTTTGAATTGAATACACCCAAATCTTAAATGACTTTTTAAATTCTGAATTGAATACCTATAGAATTTTAGAATCCAAAAAAATCTATTAGAATATGGAATGAATACACCCCCCTTAATTTACTTTGTATTATTTGTGAAAACTTTATTGGAGATTCTGATATTCAAATTATTGGCAGATTCTTTTATGATCTTCAGATTCATATTCATTTTATGAACTTTCACATATAATATGATTTTATGTAATGACCCTTGTAGAAATAAAAAACTATGAATACATAGAAAATAGGCTAAAGATCAAAATTTTGCATATGTAACTGGGGATTACAATAACACAACTCCACATTACTATAACTACTTCCTCCGTCCCGGAGTATTCGTCCAGTTTTAACTTTTGGAACTGTTTATTTTGTTAGACAAGGCGTGCAACTCTAGAGGGGGGGGTGAATAGAGTTGTTGAGAACGATTACCGATTTTCGCAGGATTAAAAATATAAACGTAAGTGCAGCGGAAATAAAAGAGAGAAGGCAAAGAACACACCGATGTATACTGGTTCACCACCTCGTGGCTAGTCCAGTTCCCCGAGAGACTCTCTCGAAGCTACCACTACTTCCGTTAAGCTTACGGGTGCTTAACAAACCGTTTACAACTCGAGAACTTGAATCCCACAAGCCTCAACACAACCGCTCGTAGATGTGCCCTCTACAAGACTTCACAACCAAGACTTAAGTCACATAAGTCTTGAACAACAAGAAGAACAATCTTCTTCAATCTCTTAGCAATAACTCTCACAAGAGTAGAAATGAGAAAAGATTAAGCTCTATGGATGACAAGAACACTCTCTTGAAAACATTTAGTTTTCTCACAAAATATATCAATTTGAGGAAGAAATGAATGGATGATTATAACCTCAAGATTGGGGGATTTTAGGAGTGCTTGTTTTTCGTAAAAATGACCAAGGAGTGAGGTTTATAAAGGGGTTGAAGGAATATATCCGTTGGTCCAAGAAAAGAAGCTGTGATGAAAAATGTAGCATAATAATCGATTAATGCAGTGTCAATAATCGATTAATGCAGTCTGAGAAAGATTCCTACTGCGCGGAAATAATCGATTAATCTGGATATGAAAATCGATTAGGTGGCGCTGTGAGCCTTAATCGATTAATATAAGAGCAAAAAATCGATTAAGCTAGAAGCTAGAGAAATCCAGCGAAGCAATTAATCGATTAAATTAAGGCAGATAATCGATTATGGAGGAAATAATGCGCAAAACACAAAGGGCCCAAGCCAATTGCGATAGATAAAGAATTGGCTGAATACTAGTTGTTTGAGACAACGGGAATCAGGGAGCGCTCCTCCTCTCTATTCAATGAATTTGAATAAGGGAGTAAAAGTGAGTCCAAAAATTATTTTGTGTGTCAAACGATGAACACGAAAATATTTGAATAAAATATTTTTGCTTTCCAAAAATATTTTCTAATATCAAAATAAATATTTTGATAAATGTTTGACACACTTTTTGTAACTGACTCAATAAATGTATTTGAACAGTTAAAAAGATTTTTCCACTGACTCCAAAAATAAATATATAATTTTTATTTTAACTCTCATAAAAATAATTTTGGAGAGAAGATATTTTTGTCATCCTTACAATAATTCCTAAGATTCAAATAAATAAAAAGTCTTCGGAAATCTTTTACTCCTCCGAGTCCTCCGTTAGGCGCTCCGAACACGTCTCGGATTCCAATAAAATCCTGTGCATCTTCTTGAATACTTCAAGGAATGGCACTTCAAGTCTTCGTGTTTGTCGTTGTAGCACTTTGATTTTGACTTGAATAAATTGTGTTTGTCAATTATCAAAACCTGTGAGTCAACACTTAACAACACAGAAAGGGTTGAACTCATGCATTCCAACATATTTAAGCACTTTGACTCATCAAATTCTCTCAATGTGTAAGACTAAATATAGTCATGTGTGATCTTGTTTGATTTGTCTTAACATATAGATTATTAATATATAATTTCTATATTTTTTTAATATACAAATTACAAGATAAAATGAATTAAAGAAGTGTATTGGATGATGTGTAAATATGAAAGTGGACAAATACTCTGGGACGGAGGTAGTATAATTTTTATTTCAAACTGATATCTTAACTATGTAAAAGTATTTATATAAGCTAATAAATATGGAGTATCATATAATGTACTTATAAATTATTTATAACTCAAAAAATAAGTAGATTTTACCAATTTATTCTTAAACATGTTTTTTTGTTTTTCTATTTTGACTAAATCATTTACAAAATCATCTTCACTCTTCTAAGAATATTTCCAAATGGCTCGTCTCTCATTTAATTTATTTTGCACAAATACTTCAATAATAAAAGTCTTGCGAGTATAGATTAAAAGTTATTTATCAGCAATGAAGTAATAAACACTAGTATATAAAAAACGGAGGTGTTACAAAATAAACACAATAAGTTTCAATAAATATAGAGGAAATGCTTCCATATTTTAAGAAAACTATACAATGTGAAAAGTATTATATATCTTTTTAAGTAAACAATATGATTTTCCTAATGCATTGAAAATTGACACATTCAATTTTCTTTAGCTCTTAGTTTCTATGAAATTTCCACACTAAACACAATAATGCTTCTGATGAATGTTAAATTCATCGAAAATTATTGACATTAGATTAAAGTAATATATTCATATCAGAATAAAAATACAGAGAGATAAAACTTTGTATTGCCATTAGAATAACAAGGGTATAATGTCTCCTCATGTGAAGAAGATGTCATATTTATAGTATAAGTTCATGATATGATTTTGCAATCCGTAATTAGCACTAACTACGGAGCGTATAATATTAGAAGTCAACCACATGAGGGTCACACCACAATTTCTAACCTAGCCGCAACTGCAATTCATATCTAGGGCTGTAAGTGGATAACCGAAAATTTGATTACCATCTGCATCTATAGCTATTTCTATGAAAAATTATCCTTATCCAGTTAAGGACATCTGGTTGGTAAGCAAGCAGATACGAAATTGATAATCATACATTCGATCCTTTTATAATCCAATACACATATACATCTTTTTAGGAAACCGTTTATCCCTGTATTTGATATGCTATATGCAGAGCATGATATTTCCTAATCTTTTACTGTTATATTTTTTTTCAATTAACATGTTAAAGTACAAGACATCTTCATATGTAATATTTTTATACACTACAATAAAAAAGAAAAATACTACGGAGTACTTCATAACAAATTACAATTACATAAATACGGAGTATATTAAAAGTATTTATATACTACGAAGTATATTTTCAAATTGACTTTGAAAATTTAGTAACGGATACGAATATACTACCTCCGCCCCAGAGTATTTGTCCACTTTCATTTTTACACACCATCCAATACACTTCTTTAATCCATTTTATCTTGTAATTTGTATATTAAAAAATTATAGAAATTATATATTAATAATCTATATGTTAAGAAAAATCAAACAAGATCACACATGACTATATTTAGGCTTACACATTGAGAAAATTTGATGAGTCAAAGTGTTTAGATGAACAGTTCCAAAAGTCAAAAGTGGACGAATACTCCGGGACAGAGGGAGTATTTGATATTTGATCGAGATTCGACGAACATGGATACAATTTTGATTTTTGGAATCCGTCGAAATGCGTATCCAAATTCAATATCCTGGAAAATCAGATATGGATCTGATAATGGCAAATCTAATTCGATTAACATCCGTCTACACCCCTATCCATATCAAGCAAGGTTGAATCTCGCTTCCAGGTTATCGCAACTGGATTCCCTTTTAACGTGGGGCTACGTCTCATTTCTGGGCCGAGCTGCTCCGATCCCTCTTTCGCGGGCTTCCCCTGGAAGTGGATTGGGCTCAACATTTTGGGTCTAACTATAATTAAATAAACAAATGGGCTGGGTTATTGGGTTTGGACAACCCCTGTCCCCTAATATACCCCATTAGCATTAATGCATTCTAACAAAAACATCCTCTCTATGTTTTCTCAAAGGGGTAAAGTTGTATACACATTGACCTTCCAAAACCTTACTTAGAAGAGCTATGTCTACTCGCAACCAACTACAGTTCTGCAATGCCTAGGTTGCATGTTCGGCTGTACACATGCACCTTCACAGGAACCACCACGGTTGACACGCGCCTTACCCCACCCCCGCCACCGAGCCGTAATCACTAACCACTGCATTGAGCCTAGATGCAGTTCTTGTGATCCTTCATAGCTTTCTGGAGTCCAAAAACAACATATTTACAGCTCAATTTATTCGGTGCGAACCCGATTTTCATCATTTTCTCTTGAAACTCCATCAATTCACAGACATCGCCTTTCTCACCAAGAAGACGTAGTACCCTGTTATAGCAAACCATATCAAAAATGTGGTACTTCCGAGCAAACAAGCCTAGTAAGAACAGTGTTTCATTGATGTTCCTATCACCACAGTGTCCAACAACCAAAGCTCTACAAATTTCTGCATCTGGTTCCAACCCCAAATCAATCATCTCTCGCAACATGGAATTCGCCTCTAGATTTCGACTTGATGCACACAAACAAGTAATAATCGATCTGTATGTGTCCAAGCAGAGCTTCAACCCTTTACCTTCTTCCATCTCATCCTTCAAGCGAAGCGCCTCATCCACACAACTGCAATTGCAAAAAGAAATCATCAACTCTCTGTATATTACCATGTTGGGTTCAAACCCGTTGTCAATCATACGGTCCAAGAGATTCTTGGCTGCAAACGGTCTATTATCCATGCAAAGAGCAATCACTACATGCTCATGTATATCTTGAGATACTGAAACCCCAAACTTCTGGACCTCCAGAATCAGATTCAAGGCCGAGACAAGCCTTCCGTGTTTCCTAAACCCTTCCACAAGTTTCCGGAAGCTGAAATCGTCGGGTCCCACTCCATCTCGAATCATGTCATGCAACAAAGACTTGGCCTCATGCATCATCCCCTCCTCACAGTACCCATGAAGCAGAGTGTTATAAGAAACAGAATCTGGTTTAAGGCCTCTATGGACCATCCCAAGAAACAACTGGTGAGCATCTTTGACATTGCCGGCCTTACAGAAGCCACTTATCAAAGCAGTATAGGTTATCAAATCCGGGGGGATGCCTCTTTTGTACATGATGTAATACAAATGGACAGCATCTTTCAACCTCCCTCTCTTGCAATAACTATCAACTAACATGTTATACGTGACAATGTCTGGCTCAAACCCTTCTTCCTCCATCTTCTCCATAAACTCATCCACCATGCCCAAATCCCCACTCCTGCAGAGGGAGTGAATCAAGATGTTGAACGTGCACAAGTTCGGGCTCACCCCAATTCGCTGCATTTCCTCATACACTTCCCAGCACTTTGAGAAATGATTTGCCTGGGAAAGTGCATTTAACAGAATGTTAATCGTGATCACATTCGATGAAAACCCAATTCTAGATGCATTTCGAAATGCCCTAAATCCACGCTTTAGCATCCCAGACCTGATGTAAACCCTAATGAGCATATCGAACACCATAGGGCTCCAATTGCACAGCTCGGCAGCTTGAATCAAGCCCTTGAACACATAATCCTCCTTTGCTGCGGTCATTCGAACAAGGTCTGACAGAACCTCCATTGCCTGCGAATAATTGCTAGACCAAGCTAATATGTGAACCATGAGGCAGTAATTGAGCGCGTCTAACCTGTTACCATTGCATTTGGAGCTTTTTCTGGCCCAATCGAAGAAGGAGAGAGCGGCTCGAGAATCGGATTGGCATCTCAAGAGAACTCTTGAGATTTCCGAGCTCGTCAACGGACGGCCGGAAATCTCCGCTTTCCGGCCGGAGATCCTGATTAGGTTTCCCGGTTTGAGTGCGGAACACACTAGGTCGACAGTTTTGGCCGGATTTTCTGTATCCGGAAGAAAATTGTAGAGTGGGCTTGAGATCGAGCTGGTTTCAGATTCACTCTCATCCGCCGGTGCTATTTGAAGTGGTGGTGATGATGATAAGAGCAGATGTTGAGAGGATTTTGGGGGGAGATGAAATTTATGTGAAAGAAAAGAAGAGGAAATTTTGGTTGATTTCATGTTCAATTTGGAGGTAAGAGCCGAGATTGGTTCATTCAATAAACTTTCATCTCACTTCTTACAATTGGAATAAAGGACTCCGGCGCCGGCGCCGGCGCCGAATGCAGTAGATGGCCTCTCATTGAAAGTTTGAAACAAAGATACTCAGGGGTGTATTGAATAAGGATTCTTATTCATTTAAATAGAAATCAGTGAAATTTGAAAGTTTAGGTGTATTCAATTGTAACTTTTTAAAATCTATAAAAATTTAGGTGTATTCAATTAGGATTTTAAAAAGTCATTATAAATTCAACGAAAATCTAGCCGTATTCAAAATAAACTTTTAAAATTGAAAAAAAATCTAGAGATATTCAAAATAATATTAAATCCATGGATTTAATAAAATCATTCACATATGAAGATATTTTACTCCAGGATATAAATACTCTTTCTCCATTATTTTCTTCACGCAGGAGCAAGTGTTCTTTGGAGACTTTTTTTTACGCAAGAACCCTAGGTCCCGTCAAAGCCTCATCGTCTTGAAATTGTCCAGAACCGCCTTAGGGGACGGGGACACCGTCGGGAGTGGTGGGAGACACCCCAGAACCGTCGCTGATGTACAGGATTCACGGATGAAGCTTGGCGAGCCGGAAACCCAAAGTAGGGGACGTAATTACGAAGTACTCCGTATTTTTTTTCCTTTTGTGCGTAGTGGCCGATTAGGGTTAGGCAATGACTCTATGTAGAGAGGCTTTGATGGGACCAATATATTTCTTAGTGGAGTCATTATTTTTTTCCTATATATTTCCAATTTGCAAATTGTACCAAAAAAACCCAATTTGCAAATACGTAGTATTATTTGTAATATTATTTTTTTATCCAACAAATTATTAACAATAACAATCAAAAGTTTAAAAATATGGATTTGAACTATTTTTTGTTAAATTCTAAAAAATTTCATTATGCTAATTAGTTTTTTTTTACATTTTTAATTCTATATTTAGTACTTTATTATTTTATTTGTCGTATCCTCGCCGTCCCCGCATCCTATAATTTTTAAAAATGTCGTTTTCCGACCCCGTCCTCGCCTCCGCATATGTACCCGCACCCGCCCCAGTGTGAAGAAGCATCGTCTCTTACGTCTCCTTTTTTTCTTCAATCAAACCATAATCTTTTTCACGAGCTAAGAAAGAAAGGAGATTCTGAAACCCGTTTCTTAGTTTTTCCGATTAATCAGACAATTTGATTATATATTTGTTTTTTTTCAAATTATTTATTTCTTGTTTTTGTAATTCCATTACTATAAAATTTATTTTGTTATTAATATAAAAATATAATATTTTTTTAATTTAAAGTTAAAAGTAATCTTATTTGAGTGCAAAAAAAAAATAATGCTGGACGAACATACTTGAATGGTGGAAGTGAAATCTATAAAATTATTCAAATAAAAGTCCATAGACTTGTTAAAATCCATAGAAATTATTTATATAAAATCAATGACTTTGAAAATATCAATAAAAGTCTATGACTTTCAACACAAGTCCATTGACATGAATAGAAATCATTGATTTTAAAAATATGAATCAAATTCCTTATACAATACACCCCCCTTAGTTTAATAATGAAATAAATTGAAAACAAACATACCTGTATTCTCTTTTGTGTTGGGATTAAGATTATATAAACATTTGCTTCAACAAATCATCACAGGGCGTTTGGTCTAGTGGTATGATTCTCGCTTTGGGTGCGAGAGGTCCCGAGTTCGATTCTCGGAACGCCCCAATTTAAAAAATTAATTTCTTCTAGTTTTGTAGGCTCCACAAGAAATACTCTCCCTGGTTCATTCTTGAATTTTGAAAGGTACGTACCTATCCATTAATCACTTTGGTTCGCCTTTAAAACTAGGAAATAATCTAAATAGAACTAAAACGGGTAAATTTCACCAATGATACCTGAACATTATCCATTAGTCATTATTTAAGTAAATGTTCACTGAACATTATTCATGTCACTAGACATTATTATGTCGTATTTAAGGAATGAAAAAATTTAATTCCAATATTGGAAAATGACTTATATTTTAGTCCTATTTAGTACTAATTTTTCTTAAAACTACCTGGCCAATAACAAATCCTGAACCCAACAAATGGAGACACAACATTGTTGATGAAAAACATTACATTATTTAACAATTCTTTACACTTTTTTTACAACATTTTCATTATTCCAATTTCAAATAGTCACAAGCATTTGAATTAGACAATTAATCCGTACTAATCAACAAAGACTGCCCAATGCCTTAGCTTTCTCCCTTAAAACATACTTTTGTATCTTCCCCGTGGAAGTCTTTGGCAAATCCCCAAACACAATTGTCCGAGGTGCCATATAATGAGGCAAGCGTTCCCTACAAAAGCTCTTCAGTTCACTCTCTTCAACCTCAAACCCCTCTTTCGCCTTCACGAAGGCGCACGGCGTCTCCCCCCAAACCCGGTCCGGCCTCCCGACCACTCCCGCCTCAAGGACCGCCGGGTGGTCGTACAGAACGCTCTCCACTTCGACGCTACATATGTTTTCGCCCCCCGATATAATGATGTCCTTTGACCGGTCTTTGACTTCCAAGTAGCCGTCTGGGTGTTTTACACCCAGATCGCCGCTGTGAAACCACCCGTCCCTGAACGCTTCATCAGTGGCTTTTCGGTCCTTCAGATACCCGGACATCACGGTGTTCCCCCTGAACATCACTTCCCCCATGGTCTTACCGTCCGCGGGGACGCTTCTTGTAGTGACGGGGTCTCTCACGTCCACGTCTTGGAGGCAAAAGTGGGCCACCCCTTGTCTGGCTTTTGTCTTCTGCCGCTCTTCGGGCGGCAAGGTGTCCCACTCGGGCTTGTGCATGCAGAAAGTGCCCGGGCCGTAGGTCTCGGTTAGCCCGTATATGTGGACCAAATTGAACCCCATCTCTTCCATTTTGGAGAGGAGTTGCGGAGGCGGCGGCGAACCGCCCGTCATGACTTTAACAACGTTAAGAAGCGGTTTTCGATTGCCTGGCGACAAGTTGACCATCATGTTCAACACGGTCGGCGCGGCCCCCATGTGAGTGACCTTATGGCGGGCAATGTTGTCAAAAATGTCCTTGGGGCCGAAACGCCTCAGGCACACGTTAGTGCCGCCCAGAGCGGCAACGCCCCAGACCATGTTCCACCCGTTGCAGTGGAACATGGGGACCGTCCAAAGATAAACCGGCATAAAGCTCATCTCGTGAACGAAAGCGGTAGCGACCGTGTTCAGAAACGCCCCCCTATGGTTATACACAACGCCTTTCGGCCTCGAAGTCGTGCCCGATGTATAGTTAACACTAATCGGGTCCCACTCGCTCCTCGGCCACCGTATCTCAAACCCGCTATCCCCGCTCTCCAAGAATGCCTCATACTCGAGCTCGGGGACCCGTGAATCGAATCCCGACTCTTCTTCGGAGTCGACTATCGACACGAGAAATGGCGGTTCTCTTTCGGCGTCGTCTACTAGGCGACGGACCGCCCCTCGGGCGACCGGGAGGAGGGGGTAGTCGACAAAAAGGACCTTAGCTTCGGAATGTGCCAAGAGGGTGGACACCATTGATGAATCATGGCGAGTGTTTAGTGTACAGAGGACAGCGCCAGCCATTGGCACTGCAAAATGCAGCTCTTGAACTGCTGGTACATTAGGCGCCAGTGTAGCAACCTGTTTGTATATATATTTACAGAGTAAAAAATTAAACGTGCATTTTAACTCCATGTATAGGTCCAAAAAATTAAAATAGTGCACATATGATACATTTAGTACAAAAGAATTTTGAAGTAGATATTTCATAATCTAATTTATAATTGTTGGAAAGATCTTTAAAATATAAATTCAGCGCTATATCAACTTTAAAATTCTATAATTTTTTATCTGGAACGCTATTCATAACTTATACGATTAAAATATAAATACTTAATTTTTTCAGTTTTAACTCATTTTGTTTTTAAATCGACGTGGAGGGGGTAATTGTAACGCAATCAATGTATTTTGTTTTTTGTAATTAATTATTAATTCATACTTAATAATTATCCTGTCACCATTTAAAATGTCATATATTCAGTTTAGGTTGTATCCCTGGAGTATTGGTGTGAAATTAAATAATTTCTGAGAGTAGTGGTGTAAATTATTGAATGTCGGAATATTAAATGAAAATCTCAAAATTCTTGGAGTATATATTCATGTGAATTTTCCAAAAAATATACGGAGTAATACTACATGATGCATTAATTCTACTTTTACAAAGTCGGACTTTATTCATTTTTAATACAAAGTATTGGATATTTTTATGTATTCCACAGTTAGTTTTTAAATACTGATTGAGTTTAAATTTTACTCCGTATTTTTTTATTCTATACTAATTTTGAAACTAAATAAATAAAAAAAACTTAAACCAAATATCATAAATTGATGAAGCATTATATTTATATTATAATTTAATACGGAGTATATTTTTTCGTAATTTGTGGTGAGAATATAAAAAGTTCGAGTAGTTTGATTTACCACATCACCACGAGAAATGCCTAACTGAGTTAGGGCAGAGGCGAGTTTGAGGCACCTCTCATAGCTCTGCTCCCACCTGTACCTCACGCGCCTCCCGTACACTACCGACGGCCGGTCGCCGTGAACCTTCGCCGCTCTCTCCAAGAAACTTATCGGCGTCAACGGGGCGGAGTTCGCCGGGCACTTCACCAGTCCCTCCTCCGCTGATTCCCATGGCGACTCCGCCCCCTGCTTCGCGGAGATCCGGCGAGTGAAATGCCCGCCCGAGAGCGAATCGGGTCGGGTCAGGACGCCGGCGAACCACTGGATCGGCGTCGCCGGGATCTTGAGCAGGCGATTCATGGCGGACACGTATGTGCTCCAGAATCGGATATATCCAGCGTCGTGGTTGGATAATTTATCCATAAATGCGTACTATTTTATGCATAGATATAGTGTCTCACAATTAGGTGTCAACATGTGTGGGTGTCACTTTCTTTAATAAAATTTGTAGTAAATAAGACTATAATATACTCCGTAAGTCATTATGTTTTAATCCTATTTAGGTAAATTTTTCTTTTCTTTAACCTAACACACTTAGACGTTCAGGGCCGGCCCCGAAAATTGAAAAAATAAAATTGGCCCGGTCCTAAATTTACATTTTGGGCCCTATTTTATTCTTTTAGAATACTTTTTCTTTAAAATTATTAAGGTATTTAAAAATATGGGGTCCTAAAATTTTAGGTGTCCTGTGCGGTTGGCCACTTTGCACACCCTCCGGGCCACCCATGTAGACGTTATAAATGATGACAATCATTTGTGAATTTATATATATACATACCATAATTATTTATAAATTTGGTGTTCATAAATAATTATCTTATACGAGGATTGATCTTCCGAGATTTTTATTTAAANCCCTAGCGTCGCTGTTTCTCTCTCGCAGCTCCCCTCTCCTCCTCGCCTAACGTCCCGCCTCTCACCCCGATCCAGCCTCCTCCAACCTTGTTTCTCTGTTCTCTCTATCGGCCAACCATGTCTGAGAAAACAACTGTCACCCATACCTCTTCTCCCACGGCAACCCCTCACTTGGCGTTCACAACCATATCAAACGTGAAGCTGCACGTCCCCGTTCTTCTCATCTTTTCAAAATCAAATTATAAAAAGTGGAGCCGGCTCTTCCTTCTTCTCGTGCGACGGTTCTCCTTGGGTGATTTCCTCGCCAGAAAATCCTCTCCTTCAAGCGTTGATGACACAGAATGGTTTCAACTTGATGCCCTCATTCAAGGTTGGATTCTCTCTACGGTCAATGATGAGGTTTCAGATCTTGTCCTCTCTTCCACGAACTCGACTTCGAAACTATGGAAGTCCATATACTCCTTGTTTCATGTCAATAAGCTGGCTCGGGCGATGTAGCTTAAGCATCAGTTTCGCACCACAACGAAGGGCTCTCTCTCCATACTCCCTGAATTTTTTGAAATAGTATTAAAAATAAGAAAAGAATGAAAAAAACTTTTCAATGAAAATGAAACAAAGAGATGAAGGAAGAGTTAAAAAAAGAAAAAAAACTAAAAAAATGAACCAAAAATTAGAAATGAGCTCTCTTACCCATGTGGTTTGAAAAATAAACACCAATGCATTCTCTTCGCCGGAAGATGACCAGAGAATGGTCAGAGAAAGTGTGGGCGTAAGGTTTTGAAATCTCAGAAATTTTATTAATAAGTTTTGAAAACTGAAATAATAATAATGTACATTTTTCAAACTACGAGGAGCACTAGAGCAATTTGACATGAAAACATGATTGCATGGAAGCTGCCCACTCAGGTGTAATTGGGGCAGATTTTTGACGTTTTCTTGAATCTTACCAATTCAAAAAAAGTTAATTATTCCAAAAAAAAAAGAAGTATTGTAGACTTTGTTTGAGTAGCACATTGACAAAATGAAAAGATTATTGGTGCTTATTGACGTGGCTCACTACATAATGGGAACTCTATGCCTTAAGGCTCCGTCTAGACTTTGGAGGATAAGGAGTCAATATAATTTTTTGGATTTTAATGGTCTATTTGGGAATAGCATTAGCGTTTTGAAAAATTTATCTACGAGTAGCGTTTAGCATTGGCGTTTTTCAAATAATCTGCAACGTTAATCTAAAACGCTAACACTATTATTTTCAAACAGACCCTAAATGGCACTCTTTACTTTTTTGCAAAAAATCGAAATCTTACATAAACAAATACTCTGTGGCACCTAAGGAGTAAGTCCCACACACTTTTATGTGGACCTATTGAGTTATGAATTCTTAAATGAAGGTGTTTGGAGATATTAAAAACCATAATTATTAATGATAGACGAGAGTAATTGAAGAACGGAGAATGAACGATGACTAGTGGGCGACAATGGTGATAGTATATGGCAAGGGAACTCAACATGCAATTGAGAAAGATATCATAATCTTACAGTGATATCTGTTAAACTCGAGAGATATCACACTTCCTTCTTTAAATAGAGTTTTGAACATCCAATTTCGAACTTATTAAATTTGAAATGACTTTACGAAATGCAAAAAAGAAAATCTCTGTTACAAGATATTAGAATTCATATCTCTCTCTGTTTTCCAAACACTTTAAAAAAAAATTCTTAGTAACTTTATATCAATTCTTAAATGTATAAAATTAAGAATAAATTCAATTATAACAAACTTTATTTTGAGACTTGAGAGATATATGCCTTGTTTGGAAAGAGCGTTTTCAATTAGTGCTAACACTTTGGATAAAATTTTAACGATGTAGATTACCTTTGAAAACGCTAACACTAAAGATTACTGTCAGATAACCTTTTCAAAACGCAAATGTTTATCTCTAACGCTGATGTAAAACACGACCATTAATAGGTAATTACTAAAATGCCTTTTTCTCCTTTTTTTATGGTGGAACATGCTTTTTGACAAGAAGAAATTGTCTTTATTGAAACACACAGTAAAAAAAACGTTTGATTGAGGCGTAGAATTTCTCCTCCTTCGCATGAGCTCACTGCTTACATCTCCCTCTCTCTCTGCCTCTCATGATTGCATGCACACCTTCTATATGTGATTATATAAATATGCTGAATTGAATTGAAATGAAATGGTAAAGCTCGAAACCCTAGCTCCGAACCAGAGGTCAAAAGATGGCTTGTCTGACAAACGACAATCGGTTCGCTCTGATCCGAATGGTGTCGACCCGAAACAAGGAAGATGCTTCTCCTCTCTCAAACGATTACGGACCCATGAGTGAGTTCCTTCTGGAGAAGGTTTTCCCTGTTTATGCAGTCGGAGTCTCAGAACCCGACCCGAATCTGGTCGTCTCCCTCGCGAATTCGGGCCGTGGAGTTGGGGACCCTATTTGGGATGCTGTCCGTCATGAAGCCAAGTCTGAGGTGAATTTCTTTATTTTTTTTATAAAAAATGTTTTTTTTCTTGGGTTCAAAAGAAAATTCAAACTTTCTTAGTGGAAGTAAAAGTTATTGACTTAGGTTGGTCCTGTAATATGAGGAAAAAAATCAAAAAGTTCTTGTGCTGAATCATGTTTTAGGCCATATTTTGTTTTGTGTGGATTAGTTTTGTTTTAAATTTGGTGCTAAATTTGATTTTTCATGATCAACAATTCAAACTATATTTATATATTCAAAACTTTAAATTTATAAAATTCTCAGTGAGAACTTCCAACTTCTAAAAATAATGTGACCTATAGAATTGGGGGCTCTGTGATTAAAGAATGAAAAAAAATTCATTTATGAAAATATAATCACTCTTTGCTTACATCTTGACCACAGGCTAGTGTTGGGATGATACTGGTCTTGTTGTTCTTCTTGACGATATTATGATATTTTTGGTGCTAATCCGTTTTTCCACTTATAAATGTTTAATCAGGCAGACAAGGAGCCCATATTAAGTAGCTTTCTTTATGCCAGTATTTTGTCACATGATTGCTTAGAGCGGGCGTTAGGCTTTGTTCTTTCCAATCGGCTGCAAAGTCTCACACTTTTGGCAACACAATTGATGGATATATTCTGTGATGTAATATTGCATGATCGAGGGATGCAACGTTCCATTCGAATGGATATACAGGTTATATACACCTGCAACATCAGTCTTACCTTAATAATTGTTGATTTCGTTTTCTATCTTAGGCTCCATTTGGAACTCAGATTAATGCTTGAGAAATTAAAGAGGGAGATGTATCATGTTCTAGAGAGGAATTTTGGAAGGACATAAAATGTGGGGGAAATAAAAGTTCTTTCAAATTCAAAAAATCAATTTTAGATATTTATTGATGCCATTTTATTTAATCTCTGTATTATGAGAGGCTAAGAAATTTAAATGTAAGTGCAAATTCTTAAAAAGTTTTTTTTATCAAAGTTGACCCTCTTTCTTTCCATGTCCAAACATAGCCTTATGCCTTTCACATACGCCTTTCTTGCAGGCATTCCAGGACCGGGATCCGTCTTGTTTGTCATACTGCTCAGCTTTATTGTACCTTAAGGTAAATTCTTTTCTTCCAATCCTTTCATTTTGAGTGAGTGCTATGTAATGATAGCTAATGAAGTGCTATGTAAAAGACCAACCAGCTTTTTCTAAACTGAAGAGTATTTATACGGTTATACCCTGTGTATTTTGGAAGAACAATTTATTTGTTATGCTATAGCAATATTCAGAAGTCTATGTACTCCGTAATATTTTGGCTTACTTAGAAAAGTTTTCACTTCTGGCGAAAACTGATAGGAAATTGTATGGAAATTAGTTGGACAAGTAATATGTATGTGGTACCAAATCCATAGTCGCAAAATTGAATAAAATGAAAGTCAGGGACCAATAGTAGGAATGACCAAATATTTGTGGACTAAAACTGGAGTACTTTCTAATCCTGAATTAGTGACCCAATTTCTTATTTTTTTACTTTTATTTAATTTAATTGTTATTGCTTTATTTTTATAGGGTTACAATTCTTTGCAAACCCATCGAGTAGCTCATGCGTTGTGGAATCAAGGGCGCAAAGTCCTTGCACTTGCATTGCAAAGTAGAGCAAGTGAGGTAGTGATGCGTGTGTGCTAGCTACTTGCTCTAATTTTATGTTACTGCAACTTCAAATATTTTTTTGGATAACTTTTACGGTTATACCAAGTTATATAGGTGCTTTTACCATAAAGGGGTTCTAATTTAAGCACGAGTATTTTTTTTGTAGACAAAAAGCACTAATCACTTGATTACTTATATTAGAATACTAGTGTTTTCTAACGGATAAATGTTTTTTTACTCCTATTTTCCTGTCAAACGTTTCGTTTATTTTCAAGTGAAATGATATTCTTTCTCTGCTAAAAAATGTAAAATAAGAAATCCTAAGTTTACTTTTACGGTCTTTCCCCTTTGATGCTACTACGAACTACCATTTAATTTAAAAATGTTGCTAATTGCAGGTTTTTGGGGTTGATATTCATCCAGGTAATTCGGTTTTCAGTTTGAATTCTAGCTAGCCATGTATTAGTGCTACCAATATATAGTCTTGTGTTTCCATCATGTGCCTCTCCTCACACTATGTGCAAATATTTATCTGGGGTCCCCTAGGAGACCGCCTCTCTACTCCTTGGGGCAGAGGCAAGGTGGGCACACTTTGTCCCCCCTAAACCATACTCTTGAGGGAGATTTTCTGGGTTTCTTTGGTTTAGTGTCATTTTAGGTACCCTATGGAAGTTTGTCTGCTCTGAGTTCAATGCATTTGTATGATCTTGTTTCATGTCATGGTCAGCTGCAAAAATTGGAGAAGGAATCCTTCTAGATCATGCCACGGGTGTAGTCATTGGTGAAACTGCTGTCGTTGGAAATGGAGTTTCACTAATGCAGGTGACTAAACCCGTAATTGTTTTCTCACTAATTGTCTAAATTAGCTGACTTAACTAATTAGGAATGCGTTGTCGATAAATTAAGTGAAGTCATGACGAAAATATGGTTATAGGTCTTTTACGACTCAATTTACTGCTCAGCGCTAATCAACTAGGACTACTCTATTTACAAAAAAAGAAAAAAATCCTCTATTTCATAATTTTTTTTACCCCAACTAGTATTTTCTTTTGAACAAATATGTCTAGTCAGTTATAGCCTCTTTAATTAGAATAAAATTAATTTGGTCCCAAGGCTAACCTTGTATGGAGTTTTTAATGTACTAGGAAAGAAACTTTTGGCATATGTTTTTAATGTGCAATTCATGCAGGGTGTGACCTTGGGAGGCACTGGGAAAGAGATAGGGGACCGGCATCCGAAAATAGGCCAAGGTGTCCTTATTGGAGCAAGTGCAACTATCCTTGGGAACATAAAAATAGGAGAAGGCGCGATGATTGCCGCTGGTTCACTTGTATTGAAAGACATTCCTCCTCACAGGTAACATGACACTTGTCCTAGGAGACATGTTTGTCTTCTCCCAAAATGACATTTACCGATATTTCAAGATGTTAAGGTTGTCAAATGATGATGTTAGTTGCTATATAATGTTCTTTTTACTTTGACTCGTGAAGCATGGTGGCTGGAATTCCTGCTAAGGTGATTGGCTATGTTGAAGATCAAGATCCGTCTTTGACTATGAAACATGGTATGTCGTTCATTGACTTCATTCAATGAAACTATCTCCTCTCTTCCTGCCCATTGTGGGGTAAGGGGCCCCCACACCATCGCTACAGGTTGGACGGGTTTTGGTATCATGCAAAGAATAAGGCTTCAGCAAAACTCAACCCTATGAGTCTTTTCTATAAGTCTTCTTAAAAGTGAGGATTATCGAACGCTTATGATCTTTAATTGGTATTTGCAGATGCTAGTAAAGTATTTTTTGAACAAGTAGCTGGTAGATTCCCCGCGGCTTGATTCAATCGGTGAGACTCATCATCCCATCTTTGATTATTAGGTCAACGGTTTAATCTCAAAGTAACTTAGGATAATATGTCTCCTTTGAATAGAGGTAAGATCCCCTTACATCTTACCACAAGTAGTCCACAACCACACAAGTTCTATTTTATCAAAGCTCATGTCAATTCCCTATAAGAAGATAATTATGGGACAGACGGAATATAATGTAAGTATGTAATATAATTAAATACTCTTTTGTCCCATCATAATTGTATCTTTTCCTTTTTCACCCGTCTTAAAAAAATTGATTTAGAATATCTCTATGCATAGACTGCGTAAATTCTAATAACACACCTTTCACTTTTCAATGTTTTTCTTAAAAACGTGAAAGTCAAAGTGGGACAAATTTTATGGGATGGAGAGAGTACATCAAGAATAAATTAATGGTCTTTTTTTATTAAAAAAACATATGTTTACATTTCTTGATTTTATTTTTTTGTCTTGTTTTTGAGAAGTGAGAGTAGCCATTGAAGGCAGATGGTAAAATATTATTGATTACAATATTTTGCAGATTTGATTGGTTAGTTCATTGAAGGTTGATACAAATGCATAAAGGAGGTCTCCACTCACTTCAATTGGGGTGAAAATGGTTTTGGGTTTTCACCTAAGTAAATATAAGATGACTGTGAGGAACAAAAGAATAAAGCTTTGTTTTATATACAGAATACACAGATTGGATACATCATTCAATCATTTGTATTTTGTACACACAGACTGTAATATCACTTCTCCCTTTTCTTGTATAATATATATATTTATAGCTGATTTAGTATAAAAAAAGTATGAACTTCATCCCTGAGGCCTCCAATCTCGTTCTATCTTTGGTTTGCATATCGTGATTGACTCCGAGTGTGATTCGGGCCTTCCAGATTGCTAGTTGAACTACGCTCACTGGCAAACGGTAAAATATCTTATGTCGAGTAAATGGGGAGCTTGAAATGATAGGAGATTCATTTGGCGAGCGAAACAAGGCTGATTTGTTATTAGTTTTGAAATCTAGAACAAATGTCACGGATCTTAAAATTTGGAATGAAAGTATTTGGGGGTGTCTAAAATGATGATTGTTCGTGATAGCTGTTGGCGATTGAGGGAGATTTAAACATTTTCTGTTGATACAATTGAATCATGGTTAGGTTTTACCGAACATTCATAAAAGAATTTTGATATCAAGAAATATTAGAATACATATCTGCCCTAAACATACCATGTTTTCTTTCACTTTCGATCTTGTTCATGCATGAACTTCATTTCTAAATCGTTACCTCTTATCAATTGTTTTTCGCCCCTATTTTTGTAAGAATGTATAGATTTCAATTTTCTCATTTCAATCACGATCTTAATCTCAGTTAACAAAATTTAGTATAAACTCCAAAGTTTTCAAGTTAGGCCCATAGACAAATAAATTCAGGTCTAATCTCGGTTAGCAAAGGTTGTATAAACACCAAAGTCTTCAGGATTAGGGGCACTTTTGGAAAGTCAGAGTCATATTTACTTGTTCTTTAAAAATGAGCTCTAGTCAAACCGAGAACAAAGTTTTAGGAGGGAGGTGATGAAATAGATTAACCAAAAGGCAAAAAATTCAACTAATTCATAGTAGAATTTGAGAGCGATAAAAACACAAAATGGATTTCATTATTATCATCAACACTACTTGAAGCTTTCCCATATTCCCACCTACACAGACCAACATCTAACATAGTGGAATCAAAATTTTACAACTGTAAAATAAATCCTAAGAAACAAAAACAAAGAGAAAATCAATAACCCAAAAACAAGCTTGAAACATGATAGGAGTAAATAGTAAAAAAGAGTAACCTTTAGAATTTGGTTCTTTAGACACCTAACCCTGAGTGTCTTAATATGACATAAGATTCATTTGAGGACTATATCATGCTCCATTAAAGCCCATGGTTCCTACCCTCTACCCAGCCCTTGTGTGGGAGACAATCCATTGTCAAATTAGTCTTCCGCGTGGGGGCTGGGGTATGGTGGGTGATCTAGAGTGGCTAGAGGGTGGATAGAAACCACTTTGGAGTCAATCCTCAAACGCACCCGGTGTCATATTATGACACTGGGGTTAGGTGTCAAAGGAACCTCAATGTAACTTTTAACCATGTTTGGCCATGAAATCCTTCATGAAAGCAACAAGCTTTTCAACCCCAGCCAAAGGCATAGCATTGTAAATGGAAGCCCTCATCCCACCAACTGATCTATGCCCTTTGAGCTGCACCATCTTCTCAGCAGCAGCTTTCTTGATGAACTCGCCTTCCAATTCTGGTTCACACAATGTGAAGGGCACATTCATCAGTGACCTCACAGATTTCTCAACTGGGCATTTGTAGAACCCATTGCTTGAATCTATTGCATCATACAAGATCTCAGCTTTCTTCCTGTTCTTCTTCTCCACCTCTACTAGCCCACCCTGGGCCAAGAGATCCTCAAAAACCAACCCGCACATGTAAATGCCATAGCAAGGGGGAGTGTTGTAGAGGGAATTGTTATCTGAGTGGATCTTGTAATCCAGCATTACTGGCGTCTTTTCTTGGGCGTTTCCGATCAAGTCTTTGCGGATGATCACAATGGTGACGCCGGAAGGGCCCACATTCTTCTGGGCTCCGGCGTAGATGATCCCAAACTTGGTGACATCGACTGGTTTGGAGCAGAAATTGGAGGACATGTCTGCAACAAGAAAGGCGGATGGGTTTCTGGGTGTTGGGTAGTTCTTGAATTCCACTCCGTGAATGGTTTCATTGGCGCATATATGCAAACACTTGGCGTGCAGGCTCTGTTCTATGGCGTCGAAGTTAGGGATTGTTGTGAATTTGTTGGGTTTTCCGGTCCAGATTAGATTGGGCTTGCAGTACTTGGCCACCTCCTTGAAGGCCTTGTCACCCCAAGATCCGGTGACGATGTAATCGACGGCGTCTTCGGGTGAGCAGACGTTGAGGGGAACGGCGGCGAATTGGGTGGTGGCGCCGCCCTGGAGGAAGAGCACGGCGTAATCCTCCGGGACGTTGAGGAGAGCCCGCAGATCCGCCTCGGCTTTCTGTATGATCGAGAGGAACTCCTTCCCACGGTGGCTCATTTCCATGACCGACATGCCGGATCCGCGCCAGTCGACGAGCTCATCCTGGGCCTTCCTCAGGACGTTGACGGGAAGAGTGGCGGGGCCCGCCGCAAAGTTGAAGACGCGATCTGGTGAGGCGTCCGATGCCGGCTGAGCCTGGACGGCGGACGCTGCCGTGGCGGCTGAGCTGCAGCTGATTCGCGGAATCACCTTGCCGGCGGCGGCGGAAGTGTTGGTACAGGGGAAGGAGTGGGCGGATGGGAAGGTGGCGGATTTCAGATGGCGGTGATGCAGGTTGATGAGATTCCCGAGGGCGGCGGTGGCGGACATGGTGGCCATGTCTAAGCTCCTCCGGCAGAAGAAGCTTTAATTGTGGTTTGTTAATGGAAATGTAATCTGTATGGGTGTGTATATATGTATGTATTGGTTTGGCAGATGGGGGTGGTAGGAAGGGAAGAAAATGACTTCCCTCCGTCTGGTTTGTTGTGGGACCGCCGGAGTAGGTGGAGTGGTCAACTAGGGCGCTTTGACAATAATTTTTTACTTTTAATTTTAACATTCTAAAAAAAAGTACTCCCCCCCCCCCCAAATAAATTTTGTGTTGGACATTATGATATTTAATTGAAATTATTTTTAAATCACTTTATATGAAAAATAGTGTAAAATTTAAAAATATAAATTACATATTAAAAAATTATATCAAAAGATCTATAAAATCAGAAGTGACATGACTATTTTATTAAATCAAATTAGGGGTGGACACGGTACGGTTCCGGGACGGTTCCGGTACTGCCACCCCTTGGTACCGGTTCCGGTTCTGGTACCGGCGGTTCCGGTACCAGACCGGCCGGTTTCGGCCACCCCCAATTTTCTTTTTTTTATTTTTGCTTTTTTATTAAATTTTTAAAGTGTAAAATTGTAAATGTGCAATTGTTAAAGAAAAGGATGAAATCAAAAAAATTAAAAATGAAATTGATAAAGGAAAGAATGAAATAAAAAAATAAAAATAAAAACAATTAATAACGGTACCGGAACCGGAACCGGAACCGCGGTACCGGTACCGAAAATTGGGTACCAGAACCGGTACCGGAGTGGGCGGTACCGGTACCGTTCCCAGAACTGGTGGAACGTCCCGGCCGGCGGTGACGGTGGCGGGTACCGGTTAATAGTAAACAAGAAGTTTATTTGTGGACGGAGGAAGTATTTATAATAGGAAGGATTTTATTTGCATAAAAAAAGATGGGCCCTATCTCTTAGGGTCTCCTCAGACCCAATCGGACGGTCACTAAGAGAAAGTAAATTGGACCTTAATCGCAGATTGGTGGCAAAGCGTGGAGCCTGTACCTGGTACTTGTTGAGGCCATATGCTTAGCATAGTTGCCTCCTAGTGCAATTGCCGGGAATCGAACCTGGTTCTTACCTCTTTGACACCTCTTGCCTTGTCAACTGTGCAACACCCACCGGCAGATTTCATTTGTACATAAATGATAAATAATAATTGTCTGTGTCACGCTAATTGTTATTTTTTGTGTGTTTCCGTGCAACCTAAAACATCAATGTTGATGTCAAATTATTGGGGTGCAATCACTTATTTTAGTATCATAAGATAACACTCAACATCTGTATCACCGATCTCATTATTTTTTAATCTAATAGTTTAGATTAACTCGTCTTCTTTTAACTCCATTAGCATCTAACCTTCAAACATTATCGTCTGGGTCTACTTCAATGCAAATGACACCGTCGCAAATAGAAGGACATCTCATCGTCCAAGAATTCTCTTTCGAGATTAATTTGACACACACGTTAATAACAAAGAACCATTGATTTTCCACATCTATCATTGAATACATAGTATTAAATAAAAGTGAATATGAAAGCTTCAGGTGATATTCAACCCGAATGTCATACTCTTTAACTCCAATTGGGGCTCTTACAGTGTCCTATTTAAAAATAAACAACTTCAAAGTGTCGTGACCGCCTCCCCGCGAGTAAATTCCTTCACCCCAGCTCGATCTAAGTTGACTTCATCTACTTCAGTTGCACTCTCTAATTTTAGTTGATTTTGAAGTACAATCGAAAAGGCATGGAGTTAGGAGGGTCGTGGGTATGAGTCGTTATGTTTTTGAATGGGGTAGCATTGAAGCCTTATTTTTTGGGCCAATATCAATCATTTAATCCTATGACATCAAAATTCAATATCATGTTATGGAAATCTTGCTCAAGCAAATAATGTATGTTAAAATGGCTAATTTTAGTATTTTACAATAAAAAACATTCACATCAATACTTGTAAATTTGATAGAATATATACAATGTTATTTTTAAATTTTATTTTTTGTGCCAATTCTGTAAGAAATTATCTCATCTTACATTGTTACTTCACTCTAATTGAATCAACTTTAGGCTTATTTTTTATTTCATACTCCATAACATTTTTTTAACTCTAAAGAATCAAACTGAGATAATTAATTTCGAATGGAGGGAGTAAGTCCATAACTACTAATTCAATACTTGGTCCGTCCCTGAGTGTTTGTCCACTTTTGACTTTTGGAACTGTTCATCTAAGCACTTTGACTCATCAAATTCTCTCAATGTGTAAGCCTAAAAATAGTCATGTGTGATCTTGTTTGATTCGTCTTAACATATATATTATTACTATATAATTTTTATAATTTTTTAATATATAAATTACAAGATAAAATGGATTAAAGAAGTGTATTGGATGGTGTGCAAAAATGAAAGTAGACAAACACTCAGGGACGGAGGGAGTAATTTTTATCAATTCCTTTTTTTTTTGAAGGCATCAATTCCTTTCATTAAAATGGATTTTGCAAGTTGAGGGTGGTGGGGCCACTGTTGTTCAAACTTCTGATTAGGAGAATTGGAAGGGGCAAGTACTATGTTTTTTTTATCAGAAGTGGTCCATTGGTTCCAAAAGACATTTTCATTAGGTTACAAATTTTGATCATAAATTTTAAAAACATATACTCCCTCCCCCACTCTCTTTGTCCACTTACCTTTTGGCACATCATCCAATGCACTTCTTTAATCCATTTTATCTTATAATTTGTATATTAAAAAATTATAGAAATTATATATTAATAATCTATATGTTAAGACAAATCAAATAAGATCACACATGACTATATTTAGGCTTATACATTGAGAGAATTTGATGAGTCAAAGTGCTTAGATGAACAGCTCCAAAAGTCAAAAGTGGACAAAAGAGAGTGGGACAGAGATAGTATAATATAAATTTAAAAAAACATATATATTTTTATCATAATATAAATGTGTAATCATATTTAAAGGTTCAACCTTTTATAAATTCTCTATTTATAATCATATTTATTAATGATGAAAATGTGTAACAAGTTATCAAAAAAATCAAACAGTAAAACAAATTTGGGTTATCTATAAGCTAGAATAAAAAATGAATAGAAATAAGAGCAACATGATAGAGTAGAGAGAAAAAAGAATTATGAATTTCATTATTTATTTCAAGTAGAAATAGAAACACAGTTAGAACTGATCAACAACGGGAAAAGCAACCTCTAAATCACCCCTTAGTGCAACACAAACAGTTGCCTCTATCTTCAACTTTCTTTCTTTTTTTTCTTTTTTTTTTTCTGAAGAAAAAAAATATTATCAATCCAATAACATCCCAACCAAATCCAAGCATAATAGAGCAAAAAAAACCCATTTAGAAAAAAATTGTTTTTTTAAAGGTAGGAGAAAAAAATAGGCCTATTGATGTTCTTCTTGATCTTTTTGGACAAGAAGAAAAGTTGCAGGCTCACATTTAGCTACATGCCCAAATCTTGAAGTATTGTACTTTCTGTACACTCCTGTCAGTTTCCCTGTTCCTGCCCTTTGATGGAAGCTCACCATCATTCTTGAGCTCTCCCTGTTGTCATCCATCCAACCCAAGGACAAAATCGTCAAAAAAAAAAGAATACCCTTATTACCCTCCCCAAATCAAATGCATTTCCCATGGAAAAATTCAATCTTTTCTTTATTTTGAAAAAATGAATATTAAAATGTGTCATATTTTTAAAGTTAAATGAAGAAGCTGGGTGCTTGCTTACAGAAGTTGAAGTTCAGAGTAGCCAGTGTGCCATTGACATGTCTGGTTCCATTCCTTGTGGCAACAATGGAGTGTGCATTGCGCAGTGTAGACTGCAGCAGCAGCCAAAGAAGATGGGGAGTATTTGGTCATTTCATACTCCACTAGGCACAGCTCAATCAAGAACAAAGCCAGCAGCTCCAGCTGTTGTTTTCATCATTCCAAATTCTCCACATTATCAGTCTGTCTAGGCATATATATATTTGTATATCTGCAGAATTTGAAGTAATAATAAAAAAAAAGAAACCTTTTTATCAGATTGAGTGGCCTTGAGGAATCTTCTGAGAAAGACATAGGGAGTTGGGAGAGACATATTGAATTGCAATGTGTTGAGCATGCAGCTCTCCTGCACAAAAAATGTGTTTCACATTAAAAGTGTTTGTTTTGGAGCCCAAAAAGGATGACACAAGGAAAGAAAGAATTTTGGAAGAAAAGAGAACTTGGGATTTCTCTAAAAAAAACAAATTTAGAAGTTTCTCTACTCAATAAAGACTCAAAAGTCTAAAATAAGGTCAAAATTTTGCATTCCAAGCACATTCTTTTTCTTACTAATAATAGACTAACCATGTCAAGAACTTAACTTCTTTCTTTGTTTGTGTAAGTAAGCTAAAGGTCAAATAATTGAAACTTCTTAACAAAACTTTTATAATATAGAGATTAAAAAATTTGAGCATTTTTCTGCATTCCAAACACAACCTAATTCTTGTTCTTACTAGTAAGAAGAACTACTATTATTAGAACTAACCATGTCAAGAACTTCTTTCTTGGTGTAAGCTTTAGCAGAGATGAAGACAAAATCATCCACAACTGGAACAGAAACCTCTTCATACTTGCAAGCCAAGAGCATGGCAACAAGTCCAACAAGCTGAAGCCTTTTCCTCACAACACTTTGTTTCTCCAAGAATCTGTCTATGATGTTTATGGTCAAAAACAGTGTTTCTTCCCTCAGTTCAAACTTGTGGTGCACCTGTTTAGCATGATCCCCAAAAAAAAGAAAGAGGGTAATTTTTTTTAGTAATGTTACATGAGATGAGGGGTGAATATTTTATTTTTTAATTTTTGAAGTTAAAAAAAAGTTACCTCAATGAGCCAGTCAATAAGAATAGCCCTCATCTTCTCATTGATGTCAAATTGTTTTGACATGTAATCTGGAGAAACACAGCTACAGTTCTGCAAGTATATGTCATGGATGGTAATGTTTCATGGTAATTATTGTGAGTTTCAATAAAGTTAACTACAAAAAAGAACAGTGAAA